AAGGCTGTTGTGTGAATGGTCTCAGAAAACAGAGGATTATTTTTAAGCCTTGAGGGCTAATGTAACGTGTTCTGCCGACTTGATTGGTGCCTGTTAAGCTTTCTTTCCCTCCAACTTCTCCCATTTGTAATGGAAATGTCTAGCTGGTGACTACCTGTTCCACCATTGTACTTTGGAAGCAAATAAATTGTATTCTAGATTTCACACATAAAGAGGAATTTTGGATTCTGGACTTGGAGTTGATTTAAGACTTTTCCTATGATATGATGGGGTGAATATATCTTACATGTAGCAAGGACATGAACTTTTGGGGGCCAAAGGGTAGAATATCATGGATTGAATTGTGTCCCCCCAAAATACGTGTCATCTTGGTTAGGCCATCATTCCCAGTAGTGTGTGGTTGTTCCCCATTTCGTGATTGTAATTTTATGTTAAAGATGATTAGGGGATTGTAACAGCCTTACTAAGATCACATCTCTGATCCAATGTAAAGGGAGTTTCCCTGGGGTGTGGCCTGCACCATCTTTTAGCTTACAAGAGATAAAAGGAAAGGGAAGTAAGCAGAGAGTGGGTATCTCATACCACCAAAAAAGCAGTGCCAGGGTTTCTCAACAGAGAAGCTCCTGGTCCAGGGGAAGATTGATAACAAGGACCTTCCTCCAGAGCCAAAAGAGAAAGCCTTCCCCTGGAGCTGATGCCCTGAATTTGGACTTGTAGCCTACTAGACTGTGAGAGAATAATTTCTCTTTGCTGAAACCATCCACCTGTGGTACTTCTGTTAATGCAGCACTAGATGACTAAGACACCTGCATACTACTTTATAAAAACTGACAACTTGATTCTAAAAATTTTATGGAAATGCAAAAGGAATAGCCAAAACATCTTTGAAAAAGAAGAACAAATCTAATGGACCATCCACCTGATCAGGCTTTTTATAAAGCGAAAGACAGTGTAGAACTGGCATCAAAATACATACATAAATCAATAAAACAGAATTGAGAGTCCAGAAATAGATCCACACATATACTGACAACTGATTTTGACAACAGTGCAAAGGCAATTCAATAGAGAAAGGACAATTTTTTTTAACAAATGCAGATGAAACAAATGGACATCCATATGCAAAAAATGAACTTTGATCCATACCTCACACCATAAACAAAATTTAACCAAAGACCAAGCAGAGACCTAAATATTGGACACTATAAAACTTCTAGAAGAGAATACAGGGAGAAAATCTATGCTCTTGAGTTAGGCAAAGATTTTTTTGGATATAACACCAGAGGGATAATCCATACAAGAAAAAAAAAATGGATAAACTGGACTTCATCAAAATTAAAACCCTTTGTTCTTTAAAATCCACCTGTGAAGAGAACAAAAAGATAAGCCACACTGAGGAAAAATATTTTCAAATTACATATCTGATAAAAGACCTGCATCCAGAATGTATAAAGAAATCTCAAAACAATAATAAGAAAACAACCTAATTTTAAAAATGGGACAAAGATGTGAACAAACACGCCCCCCCACCACAATAAAGATACGTGGATGGTAAATAAGCAAGACGCTTGACATCATTAGGCACTGTTGTTGTAGTTAGGTGCTGTGGAGTCGGCTCTGACTTATAGCAACCTTCTGTATAAAAGAACGAAACACTGTGCGATCCTGCACCATCCTCACAATCGTTGATGTTTGGGCCCAGTGCTGCGGCCACTGTTGTAATCCATCTCATTGAGGGTCTCTCTCTTTCTCACTGACCCTCTACTTCACCAAGCATGATGTTTTTCTCCAGCGATTGGTCCCTCCTAAAAAATTGGTCCCTACGTCCAAAGTAAGTGAAACAAAGTCTCACTATCCTTGGTTCTAATGGGCATTCTGGCTGCGCTTTTTCCAAGGCAGAATTGTTTCTTCTGTGGCAGCGTGTGGTATATTCAATATTCTCTACCAACACCACAATTTGAATGTGCCAATTCTTTTTTGGTCTTCCTTTTTCATTGTCCAGCTTTTGCATTTATGAGGCAATTGAAAATACAAAGGCTTGGGTGGGCACACCTTAGTCCTCAAAGTGACAATAACATTCAGCAAGCAAGGTTGTATCGTCTATGTATCTCAGGCTGTTAATGAGTCTTCCTCCAATCCTAATGCCACATTCTTCTTCATACAGCCCTCATATTATTTGTTCAGCATGTAGACTGAATAAGCAGGGTGAAAGAATACAATCCTGTTGCACACCTTTTCCAATTTTAAACCAGACAGTAACACCTTGTTCTGTTTGAGCAACTGCCTCTTGATCCATGTACAGGTTCCACATGAGCACAATTACCATATTTTTACACAAATAATGTGCGCCAGTACAAAAAAATTTAGCATAGTGCTCGTATGAAAATACTTCATAGGGGGACGGAGCAGTTGGCAAACAAACATAGAAGGCGTGCGTTATCTGTGTAGGAATATGGGTAAATGTCCTGGAAATCCTATTCTTTGTAATTTTATCTACAACTTGGTATGAACCACACAGTCGAATGTGTTCATGTAGTCAATAAAACACAGGTAAACATCCTTCTGGTATTCTCTGCCTTCGGCGAAGATCCAGCTGACATCAGCAATGATATCCCTCGTTCGACATCCTCTTCTGAATCCAGCTTGAACTTCTGGGCAGTTGTCTGTCAATGTATGGCTTCAGCTATTTTTGAATTATCTTCATCAAAATTTTGCTAGCACAAGATATTAATGATATCGTTCAATAATTTCTGTATTTTCTTTGATTGTCTTTCTTTGCAATGGGCACAAATATGGATCTTTTCCAATTAGGTGGCCAGGTAGCTATCTTCCAAATTTCTTGACACAGGTGAGTAAGCACTTCCAGAGTTGCATCATTAGTCATTAGGGAAATGCAAATTGCCACTACACATACACGAGAATGGCTAAAATTAAAAAGACTGACCATACCAAGTATTGTCAAAAATGTAGAACTCTGAGAGGGGCATTCACTAACTAGAAAGTAGACAAGAATTATCTTAGGTGAAGGGAAGAACAACACACACTACAGGGGAAGTCAGCATAACTGGACTAAACCAAAGCTAAGAAGTTGCCTGAATACAATCAAACGCTTCAAGGGACACAGTAGCAGGGGCAGGAGTCTAGGGACCATGCTTTCAGAGGACATCTAGGTCAACTGGCATAACAAAGTTTTTTAAGAAAATGTTCTGCATCCCACTTTGGTGAGTGGCATCTGGGGTCTTAAAAGGTTGCCAGCGGCCATCTCAGACACATCAATTGGTCCCAACCCACTTGGAGTAAAGAAGAATGAAGAACACCATGGACACAAGGAAAGGATTAGCCCAAGAGACAGAAAGGGCCACATAAACCAGAGACTTCATCAGCCTGAGACCAGAAAAACCAGATGCTGCCCGGCTACCACAATGACCGCCCTGACAGGGAACACAACAGAGAGTCCCTGACAGAGCAGGAGAAAAGTGGTGTGCAGAACTCAAATTCTAGTAAAAAGATCAGACTTGATGGTTTGATTGAGACTGGAGGGACACTGGAAGACATGGCCCCTGGAATCTCTGTTAGCCCCAAACTAAAACCATTCCCGAAGCCAACTCTTCAGACAAAGATTGGACTGGACTATGGGACATAAAATGATACTCGTGAAGAGTGTGCTTTTTAGCTCAAGTAAATACATGAGATTACATGAGCAGTTCTCATCCAGAGGCGAGATGAGAAGGCAGAGAGGGTCAGGACCTGGTTGAACGGACACGGGAAATCTGCGGTGGAAAGGAGGGGTGTGCTGTCACAGTACAGGGAGAACAAGTAGGATCACAAAACAATGTATGTATAAATTTTTATATGAGAGACTAACTTGAATTGTAAACTTTCACTTAAAGAACAACAATTAAAAAAAAAAGAATGAAATTTACAGCATCTACTTGATGGCATACAACAACAACAATCAAAATATATATCAAGATTTGTATACATTTATATATAGCAGTAACTGCTATTATGGACTCTAAAATTACTTATTGACCCTAAAATCAGGAGAACTAAAATCTGAAAATGAATTTAGAATAAGAAAAAATCTAGTAAACATTAAAAGAATGTAGAACTCTGGAACTCTCATCCACTGCTAGTGGTTCCCACTTTGCAAGACAGTTTTAAGAGTATTTTAAGAAGTTGAACATCTAACTGTTCCACTCTGATTCCACCCAAGAAAAATACAAGTTAATGTCCATACAAAGACATAAATGTTCACAGCAATTGTGTTTTTATAGCCCCAAACTGGGAACAACCCAAATATCCATCAACAGGTGAACGAATACAGATATCAACTAACGTATAGCCATAAATGAAGTTCTATTCAACAATAAACAAGAATGAAGTATTGATACACACAACATGGATGAATCTCCAAATAATTATACTGACTGAAAAAAGTAAGATTCAAAAAAGAATATATACTGTATGATTACATTTATATAAAGTTCTAGAAAATGCAAAGGGATCTATAGTGACAGAGAGCATATCATTGGTTGGGGTTGGGGAGGAGGGGTTAACGAAGGAGGGGTTAATGAAGGAAAGGAAGGGTTATGGTTATGGTGATGCTCTCATGGTGAATACATATGTCAAAATAGACTGAAGTGTGCACTTTAAATACATACTTTATTGTATGCCACCTATACCTAAACAAAGATGTTAAAACATAAAAAGAAGCTATACAGTGTCTACACCTAACCAACAGTTAGTATTATGAAGAATCTTCTCTATTTTCATACATGAACAACCCTGCCAGAGTTAACCTGATCATAAAGAGAAGAATCAGGATCATATTTTCTTCTAAAATTTTCATTCAGCATGCATACAGCATATCAGAGTGCAATATAACTTTCCATGGAGAGTTAACAAAGGTAGCACTAATCCCTAATCTGCTGGTGTTATTAAACAGATACAACATTATAACGTAGGGAAGAAACTCACAAAATGCAAATCTGTGTTACCTAAATAAGAAGCACCTAAAGAGTCTCTTGCAGTTTGGAAGAGAACTGGCTCATGGACAGAGGGCGTTGCTACATCAACAGTTGTCCACGCCACGCTGTGGGATGACCCACAGGCCACACGCGTGATTTTCTGCCCTTCCAGTCCTTGTACAAGTGTGGGCTTTCTATTGACTGTGGTCGTGCCATTGCCCTGCTGTCCATGGTCATTGTCACCCCAAGCGTATACCTGTTGCAAAAAAAATTAGAATTTTTCAATCTTCCAGAACATTTTCAAATCTACTTCAAAATGCTTAAAGAACATACCCAGGCACCTGAAACAATTAGGCTGTTAAAGGCAAAGAGAAAACCACTTCGCAATCTTAGGAAAAGGCATCTGTGTACTAAAATTCTGAGGAAAATTTAACCATGGAAATGCCTGCCATGATTAAAAACGAGCATTTATTTAAAATCAATCCAGTTACTTCATGTACTCTGTCCTGTTATAGAAAACTAAGAAGGTCCTATCTTGAGCTAAGTGCAATAATTTATTTTTTCCTTTATTTTACAAAGAAAAATTATCAAAAACAATATGCTCATGTTTCTAGTAATTTGCTTCCTGGCATTACAGAATTATAATTCAGTTTTAAATTAATTTTGCTTAAAAAACAAAAACTAGTGTGCTAATTTTGTTGTCATAATGATTTAAAAATATATCTCATTTATGAGTCTGTCATGCCTGTCGAAGCAGAAGAATGAGTAAAACTTCTCAAGTACAACTCCTCACTAACCATTCACTAATATAAACTGTTGTTCAAACCTTACCAACAATAACAGTATTTTCACATTTCCATGTGGACTTCAGATTCAACTGCTTAGAGTGGGAAATTTCACTATCTCCTAACATACATCAATGCATTTTCTACCATATTCCCGCTGTGTTACCAACCTGTACTGCCAAGCGGCAAAAGAGACGCTAGTGAACAAGTGGTACAGTCCTCCCCCCTGGTTGCTCATACACCAAAGAGTGCCTTATTTCATCAAGAATGACCATCCCCAGTAGAGAAGCCCACACTGCCACAGGCAGCCACACCTTACCTGGCCCGCATCCGTGACAGCCAGGCAATGCAGAGCACCAACGGCCACGTGCACGATCTTCTTCCCCCTCAGGCCTTCTACCACCTGTGGCTTCCGCACATGGACGTCAGAGCCGTGACCCAGCCTGAAGTAATCCCCCTTACCCCTGCAAGGAGGTCAACAGTGTGAGTTTTAATATGTGTGACAGTTTGGGAACGCTACATAAGAAAACAATTGTTCTACAGCTTTTAAAGCAAGCTCAATGATAACATCACACACAGTACTCAAGGTCTTTGAAATTGTTATACAATCAAATATCATTAATTCAAGTTAATTCCTTAATTCTGCTAGCAAGATAATTCATATTATGTTTTAGGATATTCATGTTACTGTTATATGTATTCTTATAAAGGATTAAAAGCATGACAAACAACCTCAAATGCCTCTAAAAAGTCATATATGGTGTAATTCTGTCTAAAGTTGCCTCTATGTTACAATAGTCAAAGCCAGTATTTGTCATGCTGTCCAGGGTCAATGTTGCCTGTTCACTCCTTTAAACTTTAATAAGCTTTCACAAGAAACACACATAGATTTTCTTCAGGATCAAAGAAATCAGAAACTGGTTTTCCTCCCATTTTATCGCTAGACTTCTGGCATGGTAAGAGAGTGGAAGAAATCCTCTAAATAAACTTTATCCAAACAGGAAAGATGAGTGGCCTAAAATTTTTTTAGTGTTCTTTTGAAAATGACCCAGATATAATTGGAAACTTCTTCCTATAATATGGTCATTAACTCCAACTCAATATCTATATAAAGAGGCCAAAGATACCTGGCTGAATATGAAAACGCAAGGTTTGACAATCGGGGGGGTAGGGGTGGGGGTGGGGCCACCTGAGGGTGAGGCCGACAAACAAACCAGATGTTTCCTGCACGTCATGACCCCCACAACCACACACACATCTGGGATAATGGGGAATTTTACCTACCAGGTCCACACCACTCCGGACTTTGTAAGAGCCAAGGAAAACTGAGCACCACATTCAATCTGGCACACTCCCTGTCCATTCAGTCGTTCAATGTTCTGCGGAATGTTACAGCCTTCACTTCCTCCCCGGCCCAATTTTCCAAAGTCACCATCACCCCAGGAAAATACCAAACCTAGATTTAAAAAAATACATACTTCAGGCCAGTGCTTCATAACATTCCTGTCTACTCAGAAGCACAGAATTACAGTCAGTGCTCACCTTCGTCGGTCAAAGCCAGAGTCTGTGCATCTCTACTCCCACACGCAACCTGGATTACTCTGTGACCAAGAAGGACTTTCACCTACTCAATCACAAAGTTAAAAACAGAATCAAGCACAGGCACTGAGAAAGTAAGAGACATTTTTTCTACAGACTGAAACTAACAATGCACACGTCTTTAATGAACTTCCCTAGACTCAAAGCTTCTCTTCTCTTGAAATCACCAGATGGTAAAGTTTTCTGTAAGCAACAAAAATGTGTATAATCACCATTTTGGGCTTCAGCTGTGTGGTGTTATCCCCATGTCCCAACCGACCATACTCTCCGAGGCCCCAGGTGTACAGCTCCCCACTGGACGTGATGGCTGCGCTGTGAGAGCTCCCACAGGCGATGTCCCGGATGCGCTTCGTTTTCAGGGCTTCAATCAGCCTTGGCTTGTCACAGTTCCTAAGACAAAAGTAAATCGGCCTTTCCAAAACTAATCCATCCTTTTTAAAGGAAAAAAAAAAAAGGACAGCTACATTGATCCACACCTAGTCAAAACAGTATCTATAGATTAACTCAACTATGAAACCTTAATACAGAACATGAAACCAAATCATATTCATTGAAATTAAATTTTTTAAGGATCCATTTACATAAATAATCTACCCTATTTGAATTTTCTGCAAAAGAACAATTAAAAATGCACTCGTTATCAGTAACAGCTTCTTATTAGCAAGTTAAGATTGAAGAAAATATTCTTACATTCTGCTGAAGTGTCCGAGTTTTCCATCGTCACCTTCGCCCCATGAAAACACTTTGCCATCGACAGTTAAAGCCATAGCGTGTCGACCACCTGCAACATTCACGTAGATAAGAGCTCCCAAAAGCTGGTCACAAAAACTTCACGGGATACTAATCACCTTGCCTGGCATGCAGTATGTACAGAATGAATAAGTGTTGAAAAAAGGAGTAAACAGAATCAAGATTCGTATTTTGAAAAGATTTCTGGGTGACATATACGCAAAATAAGCGAAGTTTATTAAATTACAAATTTCAACTCCTAGAAAGAATTTTACTTGCAAAGAAGTAAAATAATGCTGATTATTCATGGGATTCCGGTTATGTTAAATACATAAAAGATCAAAATTCAGATGGAAACAGTAAAAGTAAGTACATTGTGACTAGATAATGTATCAAACACAGTGACCAATTAAACTTTTGAGACATGCACCCTGACAGTGCGTTATTTAAGGAAAAGTGCCACCATCTGCAATTAAGGCACCTATCACTCTTTCCAAAAGACACCTGCTTACACTTCCCCCAGCATGGAGTACTCTCCCGGTACATTCCTCTCCCCACCTCAGGTCTTTACTAGCATGACCTCTCTTTATCCATCTGGGGCAGACAGGGCTCCCAGTCCACCCAACATCCACCCTCCCTCGTTTTTACCAACAGAACCCCCATATTACTAGGGTAACAATGTGCTTAGCGAGAAAACACACTTCTCTGTCTCCTGTGCCAACAGGGGATGGTGACTGAGAGGCCATTTATTAGAGTTAGGCTTCCACTAAAAGGTCCTTAGAGGGGCTGAATGGGCTGGAGGAAATACCATCTTGTGCTTGCCTCCTCCTCCTATGCCTGGAACTCAGATGTTTTGGCTAGAGCTGAGTGGTACCCACCTTTCAACAAAGATGGACAGAAAGAAGGATCCTAGGTCCTCAGGGACATGGCGCTGCCCTATAGCCCTGGACTCCTAACATTTACACAGGAGAAAGACAAACTCCCATCTTGCTTAAGCCACTGCTGTTTGGATTTTCTATTACATGGGGGCTAATCCTGATCCCACTCAGTACAGGCAGGAGCTGAGTTCTGTATCTAACTCAGCTCTGTTCCCCAGAGGCCCAGCACAGTGCTTACAAATAACACTCAATAAAGGTTTACAAAGTTGAAGGACTGTGGTTTTTTTTTTTAATCTTTTTCATCACTTGGGCTCACAGACACTTTTGGGAAAAACAGCACATATTTAAAAACAGAACTCTGCGATTGTGTAGACGCTATGAACCACGGACCCTTGAAGGGTGCACCTACACGCCTGAAATGACAACTGTTGGCCTCCAAAAAGCCTAGTTTAGTAATAAAAATTAAATTTTAGAACACCCAGAGATCTACAGTCTTCCATTTTTATTCCTACTACTTAAGAAAATCTTGAAAAAGAACTCAAGGACTGCTTAGGGAAGTTATTTCAGGAGCTCAGTTACCAGCAGAGTAGGAACTCTAGGCGTCCCCTTACACAGTACAGATGCTGGGCTTGTACCTGAGTGCACAGCCACCTTCTTCACCACATAGCTGCTGAGGGCCGTGATCTGCCGTGGGATGGGTACAGTCCCACTGGAGAGGCCCAGCCCTAGCCGCCCGTTGGTGGCTTCTCCACAGGCATAGACCTTCCCTTCCACAGTCACTGCAAGGAATGAGCAGAGGGAAAGGACTCACCTTCAGATCACAGCAACTATAATTTTCGGTGTTGAGCATAATTAAACATTTTTAAAATATTAAAGTAATCATACCTGCAAACAAGCTTTTAGAACCTCCAGCCACCTGTACTACATTCAAAGCAGACAGGGTCTCAGAGAATGAAGGAACCTTTATCTAGAACAGAATTTTTTTTTTTTTTAAAAGCAAAAGAAGGAAAAAGATAACTATTTCATTAACACCTTTAAAATTATAAGTAACCTTATTAGATGGATACAGTGAAACCTGTGAAAGAGTCGGAACTCAAAGGGATTGCCTTGTTTTTCTGGGTCTCGCAGGTTCCCCACCTTCAACAGGGCACCGTCTTAGCAGTTTTCTATTGCTTGGTTTAGTGGAAAATATTTTAATTTTCCTTCTCTGATAAGTTTCTGCCTTACACAAGTTCCAGCTTTTGCAGGAATTACTGTTAATTTGTATGGCTGTATTAACAAAAGGAGGTCTTATCTCTTAGAGGTACACACTAAAGTATTTAAGGATGAAATGATCTACTGAAATTTACTTTAAAATAAACCAGGAGGGAGGCAGCCATCTGTTAAGAACTGTAAAGGCTGATATCAGAGACATGAGGGCCCACAGTACTATTCTTTCTTTCTACTTGGGTACATTTGAAGATTTCCACAATAAAAGGCTAAAATAAGGATATAAATATCTGGCAAGCTATATTTTACTTCAAGTTATGCCCTGCTCATTATCTTTGATTCTGACATATCTAAGAAATTATATGCTTAAACTTCCCATTGTAAGTGGGTGTGATTTAATTTAAAATTTTTAAAGCCCTTGTCTAAGACACCCTTTATGATTGATTCTCTCTGTGTCAGAAATTATCAGTCGACAGTCACTACTACAGTCTAAGAGAGGACTCCAGCACACTGTGGAGTGTCAAATCTAACTCCTCCAAATTCAGCCCTTCATGTGAAAATTCCATCTACACCAGGGAGCAAGCGGGCTTCCAAAGACGGCCCCGAACCTGCAGAACAAGCCAGTCCCTCACTCACAAATGAGACATTTACCTGTACTCCACAAACGTAACTTAAGACTCTTCAAATAAAGATAAAAATTCACTGTATTGGGAGAGTTAACATAAACGAGTCCTAAATTTAGTTCTCAGTGTCTCAACAAGGCAGGCAAGTATTAAGGGAACTTATGACTGTGATATTCACAGAATACTAAAAGGAAGCAGAAACACTTATTGAAACTAAAATTTGGAGGAATTGGTTTCGTGGCTCCTCAGACAAGAGACACGGAATAATAAAAGGGACACTGAATTCAACTCTAGCTCAAATGCATCATTTCTTACATCTAGTCTTAAAAAAATCTGGTTTTTTTCTCTAAGCAACTTAAACTACTTCACAAATTAACCTTTCATCCAAGTACCTATGGAATTAAGGATGTCAAGCTGAATGACTACAAAAAGGATGTATGTGTACACATGCATACTTATGTCTCTGAGCTCACAAAGCATTCTCTCCCCACAGAGGTTATTTCACTGAGAAGTATCTCAGACACCTAGTGCCCAGTGGGCAGAAATCACATCTTGCTCATCTTTGTACCACTGTGGCATTCTACATAGTATTGTGTTTACGATAAGCAAAAATGTTTACTGTACTGAAGACAAAATAAATATATTTATAGTCTATACTTTTTTATCTATACACTTGTCAAATCGTCTTCAAAGTGTATTTTCTAGTTTATAAAACAGCAATCGTGCCACTATCTCTAAAGTGCACCATTTTCCAAGGACAGAGGCTTTCCCGAAACTGAATTTGATAGTATCTATTAGTTCATGCCAAGAATTACTTCAGAAAAATTCATTTTCAAAACAATATACAGAAGTTAAAACCATTATAAAAACATTAAAAGAGGTATTACTGCTGTTGCTGAATGTCTCCTGGACAAAGGCACAGCAAACACTGCCCCTGACAGAGGGGTGCACATGGCTGGAGGGGAAGGTACCTTAGAGCCTTTCAGTCCACCCAGCTGGTCCTTGTCGTTCAGCCCCCACACAAACACTTTGGTTCTTATCGTAGCCACCGACTCTAGCCCTGAAGTCTTCTTTCTCATAAGGCTAACCAAAGGAAAAAATAAAGACAGAGATATAGGTGAGCCTGCATAGCGGGGAAAAAAGGAAAGCAACCTCAAGCACTCAAGGCTCACTGGTCACTATCAAAACGCTTGTTTCAAGTTTTGATACAATAAAACTCCAAGTATGTACAAGTATTCCAGAGGGTCAAAATTTCAAAACTAGAATATTAGAATTTTATTTTAGCTTTTTGTTTACTCTGTGTGTGCATTTCTCTTTCTTCTTAAATATCAAGTCGAACATAACTGTCTTGATGACGTGTAAGAATACTCACCCATTTCCATGAATGAACAGCTACTATGGATGTAACTATAGAGAACACTCGTTAAACTGGGACTGGGACTGCAGCAATGTCTCTAAACCTAAACATCTGTTTGGTGACTTGTTTTGTGTCCGCCCCTCATCCCCAAAGAAAGAATAAAATGCATGCAGCCTAGTTACCTGTGAGGTACTGTAACATACAGACATGTCCTGAGGTGAAATGCTATTTTCTTACTTCACTCTCTGCCCTCCGCCTGTTCCCCATCTGCCTCCCTCCTTTTCCTCCCGGGAGTCCTGCTCTGTACCTGGAGAAGCCTCTGAAGCTTGCTCGTTCCATTTCCTCACCTGCCCATAGAGGGCTGGAAGACAACCAACAGTAAACAAAGCACTCCGATTCTTGATGAAACCAAGATAGAGTGTTCCATTTTCTTGGTTGTTAGTTTGATGCCAGGTGTTAATGAACTGCTTTCTGCGTTGGGGGTTTTAGGCTTTTTGTTTGATTTCTGTTGTTCTGCGTTTATTCTACCTTCAGAAGCTAGGATGAATGACTGAAGGCCTCAGAGACTAGGTTCTAGATAGATGAATTTTTTTAAAACATTGTTACATACTAATGAATATTTAAGGAATCAAAATTTTATGGTTTCAGTATAAAAATGTAGGGAAATTCTTAGTCATCTGATACCAGACACAGGAAAGCATGTACACTGTGATCACCTGCAATACTTTGTAACACATTTTTAATCAAAAATCTGTACAGGAGACCAGAAGTGATTCAAAATATTTAACAACTGGCATCATGCATGCATCCACCTGCAGTAACAGAGGACCCACTGTCAGTCTGGCCCACCCCGGCTGGACCACAGCCCTGCAGAGACTGCTCAGATCACTGAGTCACCCAAAGTGATCAGCCAGCTAATGACAGCTTTCAGGAAGCTTTCAGCACCTAAATTTTCTTTTGGTAATATATTCAATTATGTGAAAGTATGATCAATAAATAAAGTTCAAAACTTTTTTTTTTCCAAAATACAGTGCATGTATTAATTATATATTTGTCCAATTTACTTTAGTAGAGGCTGAATAAGAAAATGTTAATATTTAATCTTTTCTCTTGAAAATCCCAATGATTTCCTTATTTAAGTCAACTAGTATGTTCCTTATTTAATTAAATTTATGTACATAGATACAACTGGTTTGAAATGTAACATGAATACATATTCCATGTAAGACAGTGTCACACATAGTATTTTTTTTCAATTTCTATGCAAGGTTCCAAAATAAACAAGACAGAATTCAAAGACCAAGACCACAGAACCCTAGAATAACCTAATTTAGTACCGCAGTTGCTACACACTCATGACTAGGAGAATGTGCCTAATATTAGCATGGTGCAGAGCTCCTTTGTTTCAGAAAGAAAGACCACTTATGTCACACACCAGAAAGCACTAGTGCAAAGAGCACTTCCATCAACACTCCTACTCCAGCGACTACACTTGCCTCCTATGATGGCTGCAAGGACCTTGCTACCTAGCAACTGAACAGTATCTTTGGAATATTAAAAACATATCTATTTATTTTCTTTTTTTTTTTTAACTTCCCAATTTCACTGTTAGCAATTTACCCAAAGAAAATATAACTTTCATGAACACAATGATAGTCTATTTTGTTTGCTTCTGTAACTATAAACAGGGAGCTAGGACAGCACCTGCATACAACAAGTCCTCGATACACATCTTTTATACAAATACACAAATGTACACAGACATAGCCGGTATCTTTCTCCTCCCTTTGTATAGGGTGTTCCTTCTGCCAGAAACACTCTTTCCTGCCCACTTTACTCTGATAACTCTTACTCTTCCTGTAATTCTGGCTTTGGGGAGAAATTTTCCTTGTTCTCCCTGACAGATGGATGCCCCCGTTGGAGACTCTCGAGAGCACCACACCTTCTCCTTTGTGCCACTCACCACAGCTGTCATGTCACAGTTAAGTGTGTGACCATTTAATACCTGGCTCCTCCATTTAAACTGTAAACACCATAAGGTGAGCGATGGGTTTATTTTGTTTTATTTTGCTCATTCACCACAGTATTCCCAGTACAAAGAACAGGGCTTGACCTGAGGTAGGTGCTTGCTAGATATGAACTGAATGAGCAAATACAGTAGCAGTCACTGCCACGGTGCTTGCACAAAATAAGGAATCAAGAGAATAAACAACGAAACACCGCAATCCACAAAAAAATCACATCACAGAATATTTATTAATATGAGTAAGAGTGCATAATAAAGTACTATGTAAAAAAGGGTATAAAATATATACCACACCATACCATTTCCATAGGAAAATATATTTAGGGACAGGAAAAAAAAATAGAAGGATATATAACAAGATCTTAACAGTGATATTTCAGGTATAAAAATTAAACATTTTTATTTCCCTCTTTTAATTGTATATTTCTAGATTAAAAACAAACTCATTGCCATTGAGTGAATTTTTCTAAGTATGTTAATACATTAAACATTTTCCTAAAAATAGAAACTACTGTCATTATGAGCTACACTCTCATTAAATGTTTACTTGTGAAAGTGAGCGTTTGGGGATGTCAGTGTTAATAACCAATAACTCTCACCTCCCACTGCTGCCTTTATCATCTTCTTCCTCCTCGTTGTCTGAAGCTAAGAAAGGAACTGCAGCCAAGTCTTCCTCCTCTGCACGAATCCTTCCCAGTATGATAAGACCATGGATTTTACAATCTATTCCTGAGCTCCTGCACTGCTTGATAGCAATTTCAATATACCTGTGATACTAGACAGCAAGACAATGAGCCACAGATTTTTGGGAACAAACACATTAAATATTTTAACTAGAAAGCAGAATGCTTCAGATACATCCCATGGGATGTGGGGGAAATCAGACTACTTTTATTTAAGTTCTGGACATATCAAGTGAGCTAGGCAAAGTGAGTGCAGTTGTGTCTGAGTAGGGTTTGCTTGAAAATAAGTTCTTAATTCATCAAATGTGTCTATCCAAGGCATGGGACTCACACTGGTTTTCTTACTAAAATTAAAGAGTATGATAGCCATACTGAATGACTTCAAACCTGTGTCAGAGTTTTCTTAAACGAAGATGTATTAACTAATAAGCAAATGATTACATGCCAGGTAGTCACAGAGTCTTCATAATTTTTTAAACAAACAAAAAAAATATTTGAATATACACAAACGAGAGAAAACAGTATAAAGAACCCTGTGAATCCATCACCCAGTTCAACAATTACCAACATAAATGGCAAGCCTTGTTCATATACGGACAATCTCAAAGACATTCTAGGCATCACAAGTTTTTAAACATATCCACATTATTATTACTAGTTATAACAATAAATAGTTCCTTTTATCAACTAATATGCTACCAATGATCCAAGCACTCTGATTCCTTCCTAAATGTCTTTTACTGTCGGCTTGTTCAAATCAGAAAGCAAACAAGGTTCAGCTTCCCTCCATTATGCCTCTGCCATTCATTTGTTAAAGCTGGTTTATTTGTCCCGTGGAATGTCCCATGCCCAAGATTTGGCAGACTGCACCTCTGTCTTGTCATTTACAATTGCCCCTTATCCCCAATATTTCATGTGAATGAGCAGGAATGCAGCAAGAAGTACCCAACTTTTTATTGCCCTAACTGGACTTGATCAGGCCATCAGATCTGTCTGTGACTTCAAAGGAGATACAGGTGAACAAAACCATGAGAATGTAAATGACAAATTGAGAACACAAGGACTCTGTAGAAGAAATAATACCTTTTTTTTTTTCTTTTTTCTTTAGCAAAGAAAAAACACAAACCAACTGCAGAAGGATGTTTATGGGATAATTGGGAAACTTGAACACTGACTGGATGTTACATGATTTTAAAGAATAATCGTGGTACAAATGTTAACGCACTTAGCTGCTAACCAAAAGGCTGGAGTTCAAGTCCGCTCAGAGGCAACTCAGAGGAACCTACTTTTGGATTTTTTAGATCTAATTTAAAAAAATCAGCCACTGAAAACCCTATGGAGGACAGTTTTACTCTGACACACGAGTAGGGCTGACCTGACAGCGACTGGTTTTGTTGTTTTGGTTACGTGACAGTACCATTGTGGCTGTATTTTAAGTTCTTCTCTATTAGAAACGGATATGAAATATTTACTACTGGACTAGGGTTGTGTCGAGGACTTCCTTTTAAACACTCCAGGAAAAAAAATTAGGAGGAAAGTGCAGTGAGAGAGTGAAACACAACTTTCAAAAATGTTGATAAATGTTGAAGCTGGGTGACAAATTCATGGGGGTTTCATATACTATTCTATTTTTGGTTATTGTGGGAAATTCTCACAATAAATCATTATTATAGGAAGGGGAATGCTAAAGAGCCCAGCAGCGTCTCCAGAAAGGTAATATTCTAGTTCTTAACTCGGTTGAGGGGATGGAGGGCAGGTCAGGAGTTTGTCATTTACTCATAAGGCTGCATACTTTTCATACACATCATATACACTGTTTTGTATATATCAAATATTACAGAAAAAAATGGTTTCGAATTGAAAATTTTCTTGGATTAAGGTTACTACACCTTTTACGAATGATCGTCTTTGGAAGCAAAAACAAAAAAACCAAACCCATTGCCACAGGATTGATTCCAACTCATAGAAACCCTGTAAGACACAGTAGAACTGCCTCATGGGGTTTCCAAGGCTGTCATCTTTACAGAAGCGGACTGCCTCATCTTTCTGCCACGCACAGCGGCTGAACTTTCAGTTAGCAACCAAGCACTTAACCACTGAGCCACCAGGGCTCCTTTTAGAAGCAAAGCAGTTACTAATTTAATTAAAATTCAAATACATTCAGAAGTATGACGAACACATTCTATAAGCTGCACTGTTACCTAGCAGCAAGTTAACAGTAAAATTCATTAAAATTCAAGATTATGCTTTCCTCAGAAAAATGTATTACAGGCAGTCCCTGGGTTATGAAAGTTGGACTTACTCACAACCCGTATTTACGAACCAACCCTCGTAAAGCCTATTATATTAAAAATTCAAGGTACATACAATGGTTCATAATAACAAATGCGGGCTACTTTGAGAGGCACATCAGAACATTATAATTATTCTTACTTTATTGTCATGTTAAAGATGCTTTAGTGTATCCGGAAGTGTTTAATATTTTTTTATGCATAGAAAGGTCCGCTATATACTATTTACTAAGATAAACATTTGACTGACTGACTTTACATATGAACTGTTCTGACTTACATACAAATTAAACTTTAAGACAGATTTAGGAATGGAACTCAGTCAGAATCTGGGGTCTACTTGTATTATCTTTCACTTTTACATTTCTCCAACATATTAACACAATTGTTATTATTAATTAATAAATCGGCATGTCACAAAATAATTAAATGACATTCAACAATGAATGGTGAACTGCATTTAATAATTTAAAAATAAACTCCTTACTTACAATAAACTTTTTAGAGGAATAAAAATCAAGTACTGATATTTTTATCCTCTATTATGTACCAATGGAGCCCTGGTGGCGCTGTGGTAAAGAGCTTGGCTGCTAACCAAAAGGTCAGCAGTTGGAATCAACCAGCCACTCCTTGGAAACCCCATGGGGCAATTCTACTCTGCCCTATAGAGTTGCTATGAGTTGGAATCGACTTGATGGCAATGTGTTTTATCATGTACCAATTAAACTGGTTCTCACAAGACAACAGTATAGGTATTAGGTAAAACTGTCTTAATTTGTATTATTTTAAGTTTATTTAATTTATTAAAATAGTGCTGAACTACTGTGTAGAAAGACATACTAGAAGATTTCATAGACAGAGTTACACTGATCTTTAACATGTAGGTATTAACAGAAATCTCATTATTTCTCTCAGAAAAAACTGCAAGAGATATAATAAACTTGGACTCACTTTCAAAGTTACGGTATTACCAACCCAGACAAAGAAATAGTTCAGCACTCGACTGAACAGGTGTGATAAGAAAAAAAGCCATTTCACTGTCACACAGCAGGTCAGAAACTCATAGACACGGAACGAAAACGACATGTGGGAGCAGCTGTGCTGTGTGCAAACAGCAACCTGAAAGCCAGGACCTACTTCTGTCATTTACCCTGCACTTGTTAACAGACCATTAGGAGGAAATTTGTTTTCTTTCAAGCTGATAAGTTGTGAATACAAATTTCAAAACAAATACAACCAATTAATTATTTAAGGGGAAAAAATGGGCTCAGTGTTAGTATAGAAGTGCCCAAGAGTCCATTTAAGCATTTGCAGATCATCAAAAAGGAACAGTTTCAGGGCTACTTACTTCTGTGCAGTCACTCAGAAGGGACACGGTGGTGTCAGTAGGGTTAATATTGATTGTCTTCAGTTCAATTAGATTATTTAGGGAATTTCCACCTAGGGAAAAAAGGCTAATCAGACAAAGGAGTTTTTATTATATGACAGAAGGTACCTATTTTTGAGTAAACTAATTCAATTACCTGACACTACAACCAGGGAAGGCATGTAGCTACTGTCAGCAGGATCTACTATCATTTTTAATCTATGGACAAGAACATCTGGGAAAATCTCCAAACGAATCCAATGCTTAAAAAAAAAAAAAAGAAGGTATTCTCAGTTAGCAAACTTTAGCCAGTAAACTAGCATCCCTGAAGCTTGACTACACGATACGTATTTTTTAACATATGCTGCAGCATAAGAGGGGTAAATTTTGTCTTTAACCCGGCAGAGGCAAGATTATTCTACTCCATTATTACCTCATTAGAGGAAAGTCTCACCCTAACCTTCAGAAAAGATATATTTATAGACCACTGATCTAGAGAGTGCATTACAGAAAACACTGAAATCAAGACAGAGAAAAGCCCCTCCCTCCCAGCCTGACCTATGTGCACACCCACACGTAAGTGACAGCATTCCAAAGTTCAACACATATCTGTTAGGATACGTTAGAGAAAACTCTTGCCAGAAGCTGAAACTGGATTCATTACATTTTACATGAAGAAGGGTAAAAAAACTCTACTATACCTTCCACTAATTTGTCCGTTAAATAAAATCCATTAGCTACACTATTTAAAACCTCTGAAGATAAAAAACGAATGATACATACTCATGTAACTTTAAAATAATTAATTAATTAAAAGATAAAATGACTGCTGACAGGTTCCATCAGTACACCTCTATGTATTTTTCCAAGTTCATTCTGACAACCTAAAAGGCAAAAAAATCTAAATGAAAATGTCTTGACGTGTGCCTACTGCAAACTACCTTTCCTTGTGACCCCGACGACTGCCAGCAGGGCTCACTGCCATCTATTAGACGAGCAGCCTGGTTCACGGAGGATGACACACTCAGGCTCTTCACCATGCGGGACCAGCTGTCTAGCAGCGTTCCTGGCTGACTGCTGTGACACCGCTTCAGCTGTTTTCCAGAACGGCCACAAAATACTGCAGACTGTCCTATTTCAAGTCAGTCAAAAAGAGCGTCAATACTTACTGAATTAGGGCAGAACCTTCATGATCAAGAAATGAAGAATATTACATAGTGATGAGTATTAAACTTCCACAAAAATAGACAGCTCTCAATGAAAATGGGTTAATAAATATCTAGACATGGCTTCAAAAACCTGGTCAAGACATTTTACACCAATTTATGTACTGAAGTTCATATAATGCTATGGTATTCTCCACTTCAATCTCTCAAGTAATAACAGACAGAATAATATATTTCCAGATAAAAGGAGACAAAGTTCAGTTAACAGAGCTTACTCAGAACATTAATGATGAGTTCTGGTTAAGACGGTGGCTTAGTTAGGCACACCATAACATTCCTCTACAACAAGATTTGAGAAACTAAATAAAACACACACAAATAATGATCTTGGACCCCTGACCGTCAAATGAAGAGCTGGAAAATCGCACTGAGAACCGACTAGAAGGGGCCATAGAACAAAAGCAGCAGCAACATGGAGATCCGTGGATCTTCTGCGACCTGCCTGCCACCACAGTGCAGCATAATCATTTTGGGATGTCAGGAAGCACTATCCCTGGGTGAGGAGCCCAGGAAGGCAACTTCATGGAAAACACAGCCAGAGGCAGAGATACTGTGTAAACAAACTTGGAAGGAAATGAGGTGGGTCCGAGAAGGCCCGTGGCAGCGCCATATCTTTGAAATTAGGGAAACACAGCGAAGAGCTGCGGGAGCAAAATCAGGTGGTCTGAATTGTTGGCGCCTCAGGACGAAGGACAGGTAGGACAGGGAGTGTACATCTGCAGAGGGGCAGAGGGAAAGAACTGGAGGGCAATGGAAGAGACCAGTGTTCCTGGGCAGTGCAGAGAAGGGAGGGAGCTAAGAACTAGGGCTGTGATTGTGCGCCAGTGGCCACGCAGTTGGTTCTGTTTGGACAGAAGACGTCCTTTGAACAGTAACCCACAGAGCAATGATTAGAAGCCCCCTCAACAGGCCTCATGCCATCCTCCCTTCACTTTCCTGTGGGGAAGGCCCCTCCCAGAACTCCACGCATCTTCCGCCTGCCCCTCCGGGCTGCTTTCGCGTCCTACCCCCACCCCTTCCTGGGCAGTTTCCATAGGACCCCATACCCCATCCCTGCAGAGACCACTTCCAAGCATCCCAGCGCCCCACCCCTACCCAGGTCACTTCAGTGGGCCCCAGCACCCTGCCCCCCTCCCACCACCAGGGCTGCTGTCATGGGCTTCACTGCCCTGCCCCACCTCCATCCTTTGAAAACCTAAAAGAAATGGAAAAATTTCTAGAAACACACTACCTACCTAAACTAACACAAATAGAGATAGAAAATCTAAACAGACCCGTAACTAAAGAAGAGACTGAACAGGTCATCAAAAAAACTCCCAACCAAAAAACAGCCCAGGACCAGATGGCTTCACTGGGGAATTTTACCAAACATCAAGAGAAGAGCTGACACCAATTCTACTCAAACTCTTCTAAAACATAGCAGAGGAAGGAATACTCCCTAACTCATTCTATGAAGCCAGCATCACCCTGATACCAAAACCAGGAAAAGACATCACACAAAAAAAGGAAAATTACAGACCAATATCCTTCATGAATATAGATGCAAAAATTCTCACCAAAATTCTAGCAAACAGAATCCAACAGCATATTAAAAGAATTATACACCACAACCAAGTGGAACTCATACCAGGAAAACAAGGGTGAGTCAACATTAGAAAATCAATCAGTGTCATTCACCACATAAATAAAACAAAGGAAAAGAATCACAAGATCATCTCAATTAATGCAAAAAAACGCATCTGATAAAATTCAACACCCTTTCCTGACAAAAACTCTCCGCAAAATAGGAATAGAAGAGAAATTCCTCAACATAATTAAGGGCATATATGCAAAACCAACTGCCAACATTATTCTCAATGGAGAAAAACTGAGAGCCTTCACCTTGAGAACAAGAACAAGACAAGGATGTCCACTGTCATCACTCTTGTTCAATATTGTACAGGAAGTCCTCACCAGAGTAATAAGGCAAGAAAGGGAAATAAACGGTATCCAAATCAGAAAGGAAAAAGTAAAACTACCTCTATTTGCAGATGACATGATCCTATCCATAGAAAATCCCAGAGATTCCACAAGAAAGGTACTGAATCTAATAAGAGAATTCAGCAAAGTGGTAAGGTATAAGATCAACACACAAAAATCACTTGGGTTCCTTTACACTGTTGTTGTGTTCCATTGAATTGATTACAACTCATAGTGATCCTATAGGATAAAGTAGAACTGCCCCCCATAGGGTTTCCAAGGCTGTAATCTTTACAGAAGCAGACTGCTACATCTTTCTCCTGTGCCACCAGGGCACCTCACCTTTACACTAAAAAGGAAAATGGCAAAAAAAGAAATTAAGAAAACAATACCATTTACAATAGCCCAAAAAAGGATAAAATATCTAGCAATAAACCTAGCCAGGTTTATTGAAAAGACTTAATATGATGAAAACTACAAAACACTACAAAAGACTAAAAGAGACCTACATAAATGGAAGGACATTCTGTGTTCACAGGTTGGAAGACTTAATAACAGGAAAATGTCAATACTACGCAAAGTGATCTTTAGATACAATGCAATCCCACTCCAAATTCCAACATTTGTTATTGAAATGGAAAAAATAATCATCGACTTTACACCGAAAGGAAAGTAGCCCAGAAGAGTCAAAGCAATCCTGAAGAACAGCAACAGAAGAGGAGGCCTCACACTCCTCCATCTTAAAACAGACTGTAAGGCTACAGGGAGCCCTGGTGGAGCAGTGGCGAAGAGCCAAGCTGCTAACCAAAAAGTCGGCAGTTGGAATCCACCAGCCACTCCTTGAAAACCCTACGGGGCAGTTCTATTCTGTCCTTAGGGTAGCTATGAGTTGGAATTGACTCAACAGCAATGGGTTCGTGGGTTGTATTTTTTTTTTTTTTTTTTTTGGATACAGCTATAGTAATCAAAATGGCCTGGTACTGGTACTGATTCAATGATAAACACACAGACCAGTGGAACAGAATTGAGAACCCAGAAATAAATCTATCCATCTATGGACAACTGATTTTTGACAAGGAGTCTATCTTGGTTATCTAGTGCTGCTATAACAGAAATACCACAAGTGGATGGTTTTAACAAACAAGAGTTTATTCTCTCACAGTCTAGTAGGCTAAAAGTCCGAACTCAGGGCGCCAGCTCCAGGGGAAGGCTTCCTTTCTCTGTTGGCTCTGGAGGAAGGTCCTTGTCATCAATCTTCCCCTAGTCAAGGAACTTCTCAGGCGCAGGGACCCCGGGTCCAAAGGACGAGCTCTGCTCCTGATGCTGTTTCTTGGTGGTATGAGGTCCCCATGTCTCCCCCGTCGCTTTTCTCTTTTATATCCCAAGAGACTGGCTTAAGACATGATCTAATCTTGTAGATCTCATCAACATAACTGTTGCTAATCCATATCAACATCATAAAGATAGGATTTACAACACATAAGAAAATCACATCAGATGACAAAATGGTGGACCATCACACAATACTGAGAATTATGACCTAGCCAAGTTGACAGGCATTTTGGGGGGACACAAATCAATCCATAACAGGGTCAAAGTCTATTCAACAGGGAAGAAAAAGTCTCTTTAATAAATGGTGCTGGCAAAACTGGATATCCACTTGCAGAAAAATGAAAGAGGACACAAAAACTACCACAAAACTGATCAAAGACCTAAATGGTAAAGCTAAAATTATAAAGTTCTTGGAAGGCAACACAGGGACAAAACTATGGGACCTAATTTTTTTAAAAAAATTAAAATATCGAACAAAACTAAAAATTCACTAACAGCAGAAGACCAATTAGATAATGAGGACCTCATAAAAATTAAATACTTATTATGCTCATCAAAAGACTTTATCAAAGAATAAAAAGACAACCTACAGGCTGCGAAAAAAAAATTTCAGGAATCACATATCCGATAAGGGCCTAATCTCTAAAACATACAGAAAATATCAACAACTCCAGAACAAAAAGACAAACAACCCAATTAAAAAATGGGCAAAGGACATGAACGATCACTTCACCAAAGAGGACATTCAAGTGGCCAACAAACACATGAAAAGATGCTCGCAATAATTAGCCATTTGAGAGATATATATTAAAGCTACAATGAGATACAATCTCAACCCTGCAAAAACGGCACAGATTAAAAAGAAAAAAAACAAAAACAAAAACGGAAAACAACAAATGCTGGCAAGGATGTGGGCAGACCCTTATCCACAGCTGGTGGGATTGTAAAATGGTACAACCACTATGGAAAACTGTATGGAGCTTCCTCAAAAAACTAAAAACAAAACTACCTTATGATCCAGCAGTCCCACTCCTAGATATATACTCTAGAGATCTAACAGATCTAATAGACATGAGCAGACAGATGCATACCTATGTTCACTGCAGCACTATTTACAACAGCAAAAAGATGTCAAGAACGTAAGTGCCCATCAACAGATGAATGAATAAACGAAATGTGGTACATTCGTATAACAGAATACTACGAAGCCATAAAGAATAATGATGAGTTCTCAAAATACAGTATAACATGGATGAATATGGAGGGCATCATGCTAAGTGAACTATGTTAATCACAACAGGACAAATATTATATGATCGCACTTTTATAAGAAGACAAGGATAGGTTTTTAGTAATGCTATGGCATATACAATTTTGCAACAACCAAAAAATATATGTGTGGTTATATATGTATGTGTGTATGTATAGGCATGTATATGTGTGCATATACAGATGTATCTATATGTATATGCATACACAGGTATGTGTATATATGCATTTATGTTCATACATACAATAAAGCACACGGAGGGCACAGTTATAGATACTTCTTAGACTTAACCAAACATCTTATGAGATTGGCTTATAGTGTTTGAAGGCTCAGGACCACAGTCTCATGGGATAACTCAGTCAACTGTCACAATATAGTTCATAAACTTTATGTTCTACATCCTACTTTGGTGAGTAGTGTCTGGGGTCTTAAAAGCTTGCAAACAGCCATCTAAGATACAACTATTGGTCTCTGCTAGCCTGGAGTATAAGAGAAAGAAGGAAACCAAAGACTGAGAGAAGAAACTAGTCTACAGACTGGTAGTCTACACAAACCACAACCTCATCTACCTTGAGACCATAAGACCGGAAGGTGCTCAGCTACCACTATCGATTGTTCTGGTCAAGGACAAAATAGATGGATCCTGATAGAACAGGAGAAAAATGTGGAACTGAATTCAAATTCTTAAAAAGTCCAAACTTACTGGACCAGTTGACACTAGAGGACTCCTTGAGACTATTGCCGTAAAATACTCTTTAACCTTTGATCCACAACTATTTCCTTGAGGTCACCTTTTAGCTAAATAAGAGACTGGCTCATAAAATAAAGAATATCACCCATGAATATTGTGCTTCTTTAAATGTATGAGACCAAGTGGTCAATATTTACTCTAAAGTAAACATGGGGGCAGGGAAAATAGATTACCGGAAATGGAACAACCAGAAGGGAATGTTGACACACTGTGAAAAATATAAACCAATGTTACTGAACAATTCAGCAAAGTGGTAAGGTATAAGATCAACACACAAAAATCACTATGTACAACAGAACGAAACAGCACTCGCTCCTCTGCCATCCTCACAATCATTGTTATACTTGAGCACTGAAAAGCTCCTAGACCAGGAGAATACTGATGACTAGGACCTTCCTCTAGTGCTGACAGAGACAGAAAGCCTTCCCCTGGAACTAGAACCTTGAATTTTGACTTCTAGCCTCCTAACCTGTGAGAGTATAAATTTCTGTTTATTAAAGCCATCCACTTGTGGTATTTCTTGTTTTAGCGGCACTAGACGACTGAGACAAATATAGATCCTTAAGTAACCCCTATCAATGGCAATGCTGGCCAAATCCAACTGACTAAAGTTGTGATTTCAGTTACAGCAAACAAGAGCCTAGCTGGCAATTTAAGGGAAATCTCTGAGAAGCAGACAACCTTAGGAAACCTTAAGAACCTCTGACTTACTCCTGGGGATTTAAAAAATATGAGAAAGGAGAAAGGCGCACTCACACACCTCTGGCTAACTTTTAGGGCCTATGCAAGCAGGAGGTGAAAGTTAAGGTAATCTAAACTGCTTGAAGTTTGAAAGCATACAGGCAAAAGACATTTAAATTACTCTTAGGATCAACTGTTGGCAGACCACTAAACTATACTATTATGGATTGAATTCTGTCCCCCCAAAATATGTCAAGCTGGCTAAGCCATGATTCCCAGTACTGTGTGGCTGTCCTTCATTTTGTGAAATAATGTAATTATCCTATGTGTTGTAAATCCTAACCTCTATGATGTTGAGGCAAGACACAATCTACAGGATTAGATCGTATCTTGAGTCGATCTCTTTTGAGATACAAAAGAGAGAAGCTAGCAAAGAGGACAGAGACTTCATTACCACCAAGCAAGAAGAACCAGGGGCGGACTGTGTCCTTTGGACCCAGGGTCCCTGTGCTGAGAAGCTCCTAGACCAGGGTAAGATTGATGACAAGGACTTTTCCCCAGAGCTGACAGAGACAGAAAGCCCTCCCGTGGAGATGGCACCCTAAATTTGGACTTCTAGCCTCCTAAACTGTGAGAGAATAAATTTCTACTTGTTAAAGCCATCGACTTGTGGTATTTCTTTTACAGCAGCACTAGATAACTAAGACATATACTGACCCAAAAGTAAGCCCTAAAAAGTCAGGCTTAAAAATAAAAACAAAACCTTTTAAAAAAAGGAAAAAAGGATAGCAGAGAACTCTGTGGCTGTACACTGCAGAAAATACAGAATAAAAAGGATTAGAGTTGAAGATAGTCACTAAACAAATAAGCAACAACAAGAAAAACAATAATAACACACACACACCAGCAACCACTATAAATCCTAGCAGAGAAAGGACTCTGATACCAGAAATATTACATGACCTGAAATGTTCAGGTTTCAAAAAAAAATTTCTTTACAAGGCATGCAAAGAAAGAGGAAAGTACACTACATATACATAAAAGAGCAGTCAAAAGAAAATATCCCTGACAGGGCCCAGATTTTGGACTTAGTAGACAAAGACTTTAAATCAGTTATAATAACTATATTCAAACAACTAAAGGAAACTATGTCTAAAGAATTAAAGGAAAGCAGGACAAAGATGTCTAATGAAATCAAGAATATAACAAAAAAGACAGAAATTATAAAAAAGAACCAAACAGAAATCCTGGAATTAAAAAGTACAAATTAAGTACAATTAAAAAAACTAGAATTAAAAAAACTCACTGAAGGGACTTAACAACAGACTTGATTTGACAGACGAAAGAATGCGCAAACTTGAAAATAGATCAATAGAAATCATCCAGATTGTATATGGTGTGAGGCAAGGGTCCATATTCCTTCTTTTGCATATGGATATCCGATGTTGCATCACCATTTGTTGAAAACTATTCTTTACACATTTAATTATCTTGGCATTCTGTCAAACTCAATTGATGATAAATATAAAGGTTTATTTCTGTATCCTCAATTCTACTACTGATCTGTATGTTGATCCTTATGTCAGTACCCTACAGCATTAGTTACTGCAGCTTGCTGGTAAATTTTTAAGTCGAGAAGTGTGAGCCTTCCAACTTTATTAGGCTTTTTCAAGATTGTTTTGACTATACTGGTTCCCTAGCATTTCCAAATGAATTTCTGGATCAGCTTGTAAATTTTTTTTTTTTAAAGGCAGCTGTGATTTTGATAGGCTTTATATTGAAACTGTACATGAATTTGGGGACTGTTGCCATCTTAACAATATTAAATCTTCCAATCCATGAAAATGAGACATTTTTCCATTTATTTAGTTCATCTTAAACTCCTTTCAATAATGTATTATACTTTTTAGGGGTAAGTTTTACACTTGTTAAATTCATTCATCAGTATTATATTGATGCTATTATAAATGGAACTGTTTAGTTCATTTCTGGAATTTTTTATTGCTAGTGTATAGAAATACAATTGTTTTTTTAATAGCAATCTTATATCCTGCCACCTTGCTGAAATTGTTTGTTCTAATAGTTTTTTAGTAGATTCCTTAGAATTTCCTACATACAAGATCATGTCCTCTTCAAATAAATGTATCTGTAGTTCTTGCTTTCCAAGTGGGATAACTTTTACTTCTTTATTCTGATGAACTGCTACGGCCAGAAACTTCCGTACAATGTTGAAGGGAAGAACTGAGAGTGGACTTCTTTGTCCTATTCTTGGACTTAGGGGGAAAGCATTCAGTCTTTCACTATTAAATATAATGTTAGCTGTGGGTTTTTCACAGACACTCTTTGTCAGTGTGAGGCAGTTCCCTTCTATTCCTAGCTTGTTGAGTGGTTTTATCATGAAAGGGTGCTGGATTTTGTCAAATGCTTTTTCTCCCTCTATTGAGACGATCTTGCAGTTTCTGTCCTTTAACAATATAATTTAAATTGATTAATATTTGGGCATCCCTGGGATAAATCCCACTTGCTTATTGTGTATAATCCTTTTATGCATTCCTAGATTTGGTTTGCTAATAGCTTGTTGAAGATTTTTACTTCTATATTCATAAGCGGTATTGGACTCTAGTTTTCTTTTCCTTGGATGACTTTGTCTGGTTTTGGTATCAGAGTAATATTAACCTTATGGAATAGGCTGGGAAGTGTATAGCAAAATACAATAGATTTGTATCTAAAAATTATCTTATTAACAACATTTGATGGGAGAGAGAACATAACCATACTACTATACCTGGTTCATTTATTCTGCCAAATGTATGCCTGATGTTGTGTTTTTTGGTCTTGAAACACGTTTCACAAAAATCGAAGTCATCACAGTTTCTGCATTTGAATCTAGAGCCATTGATAGGAAACATTTGACATCCATCACACCTATTTTTTAAAACATCCATTAAGTTGATAAGAAAAAAACGAGGTTATTTATTTAACTTAATTCATAAGAAAACCATTTCTCCCAAAACAAATCTAGCAATCTTAAAGTCAAAACTTACGTTACTCCAGGATGAATACTAGGGACCAACTCCATTTCTGATAACAAGCCTGTCCAGTGGGACTGCTGGGGAAAGTCGACAATGACATCTTTTCCATTGGCACTGAAAGCTAGGACAGAACAGAAATTGCTTAAAATATTGTTTACCACCAGTAAAATTTTAAAATTAAATTAAAACTAAACCTAGCCATGTAATATTATATTATAGTTAATTATGTTTTACAAACAGTACTTATCTTTTAAACTCACGTACTAAGGTACTTATGGATGAAATATCATGATGCCAGGCCTTATTTTCAAAATAATCGAGAGAGGTGATTACAGATGAAACAGTTTGGGCCATGAGTTCACAACTGATGAAGCTGGGTGATGGGTACATGGAGGTTCATTATGTTATTTTCTCTACTTTTGTATATGTTTGAAATTTTCCACAATAAAAAATATTTCTTTTTTTAGTTACGTCAAGGCAAAAATCCCCATTCAGTACTTTCCGTATCTTAGGGAATAAAAAATCACACTAATAATTATGTTAAGACTTTGCTTAGCCTTTGATAAGACCAATCTGCTACTCAAAACCTTAACTTCTAAACCCAATTCTTAATTTTTAAAATTTGTTTTTGTTTTGATGTGAAGATTTTAAGAATCTCTTAAGCAAAGGAAAATGTTAAAATACAGTAAAATATTAAATAAGCCATTTGCTCTTATGTAACCTGAAAAACTCTAAACCACCCCCCATCCACAAATACCTGCTGGGGAAGCACCACTGTTGTGGCCATTCTCTAATCCAAGCTGTTTGAAAGAAATAGAGCTTTCTACCAGGTTGAAAAAAGGATCTCTTTATGGCATCAAAAAAGTTTAAAGAAAAAATACATGCATATTTAATTATTTCTCATGTAATTGTTAAACTGGTCATAATACACCTTCTGAAGTGTGCTGTATGTTTGGACTCTCCATAATATCACATTAAGTACAACCTACAGACAATTTTGTAATTTCCAGTTCCTGGAAACAACACTTACAGTTTCTGCATACTTTTATTTCTGAAGTTCAGTTCCAAATTTTTATATAGCATGCAAAAGAAAGAAGCAGTCCCTGACAGAGGGAGCCTGCCTAACACTCAGCGCTGGCTCTGTATTGTTAAGACGGCCCTTGTGCAGAACAATTTACAGAACAACAAGAGCAGACAAGGCCACTCCGTGACTGTGACAGATTAGGGCAAAAACAAGACCATGCCCCTTAAACATGGCTGATCAAGTTCAAATCTAGTCCAAACCTATCTTGGCTAGTCTGAATTATCTCTGCTTCTTAACCAATCATAACATTAGCCTCGCTCCATTCTTTTGGCTTTCTAGATAAGATTTATTAAGATATTCAGTCTTAGAATTACCCCACTTCCTTGAATCCTCCCCAAAGTCACCTAACACAAGCCCAACGAGTCTTTTCTCACACCCTCTAATGGGGATGCCCGAATTTCCCAAGGTATGTGTCCTCTCCCATTGCAATGAGTTAATAAACTTGATTTTGCTCAACAACGTGTATAATCCCGGTGGCCTCTGTCTACAGGACACTGACAAGCAAAACAAAACAAAACACTATCATAAGGCTTTGTTCACACTTTTTTTTTTCTTATCCTTAGATGCAAAAACTTTTCAATTTATATTAGTTAATGAAAAGCTACCACTTGGAATTTTTTTGCCTAGATAATAGTACCTTTCACAACCCCCACGCTTTGATGAGTTACAGATCCCCATTTGTATTTGGGTGTAGTAACTGAAGTTTTGACCCGTACTTTATCACCAATCTTGATGTGAGAAGGAGAACTTGGTGGTGGATAGCCTAGAGGTTTAAACAATAAATGCACTACAATTAGCACTCGATTCTGGGAAGTGTGTTTCTAATTAAGAAAAAGCAAGAGAACTTTATAATAAAGAATATACTCACCTATAAGTTCAACATGAATATACCTAACCCAGTAAGTGCCTCCTTTCTGCTGCCAATCACACTGCACATTGAGATCATGTAATCCATCTCTATCCAGTTTGATAACTTTGCCCACGTCGCCTTCACACACTTCTTCATATGTTCGACAGCATCTAACCATCATTCCCACCTATAATAAAAATTAAATAAAAAATCCAGTCTTGTGTACAGAGATAAAATGAACAATGATAAATAACACTATTATTATTCTTCAGAAAGGATCTCCTCTAGCACCAGAGTGGGCTCTAATACCATTTTATACTAAATGGAGCCAGAGGTCCTTAGAGAAATGGCTGGCTCTATGCCTGGGGCAGGAAATATACAAGATAAACCTGGATCAACTTACACCATAAAGCAAGGGAGCTATCAAATATTAATGGGTTCACTCAAAATGACAATTTGATCAAAAGGAACAATGATGGCAAGAGCTGAAACACACCAAATGCTTCAAAGTTAATAATATCTATAATGTTACTTAATAAAACAAAGCTTCCTTGCCGCGTACGAAGCATTCTCAGCTTGAATCTAATCACCCTTCAGCTCTAACTCCTGCACAGGTACATGTTAGACGACACCACAAGCAAGTCACCATCAAATTCAGAATATAAAGCATTTTTAAGACATGCTGTCAGTTACAAATAAATGGCTGGAAGAGGAAAAAAAAAGTAACTATTACAGGTTAAAGGAGGCTTCAGAGACATATGATCCAAATGTAAGGTGATCACGTATGTGCTCAAATTCAAAAACTAACTGCCAAAAGGCATTTTTGAAAAACTGGAAAATTCTGAGCAAGGACAGGGTATGAGGTGACTATTAAGGAATCAATAAGTAAATATTTCCCTAGGTTATGTTAGGTAAGAGTAATATCATTAATCTATCAGGGATACATACTGACATATTTACAAGCGAAATGAGATAATATCTAAGATTTTCTCTGAAATAATAAAGAACTTAAAACAAGAAAGAAAAGATTTGAGATGGATACAGGACTACATAACTAGATTTTAAAAATCAGATGGCAGTTGAGAATGATAGAAGAAAAACAAGCAAGAATGGATACAAAGGTGTCAAAATGAGGTAATCAAAAAATGCACTCCTACTAATGGACCACAACTACCACGGCCTCCACCAGACTGAGTCCAGTACAACTAGATGGTGCCCGGCTACCACCACTGACTGCTCTGACAGGGATCACAGTAGAGGGTCCCGGATAGAGCTGGAGAAAAATGTAGAACAAAATTCTAACTCACGTGAAAAGACCAGACTTACTGGCCTGACAGAGACTGGAGAAACTCTGAGAGTATGGCCCCTGGACACCCTTTTAGCTCAGTAATGAAGTCACTCCTGAGGTTCACCATTCAGCCAAAGATTAGACGGCCCCATAAAACAAAACAAAACTAAAGGGGCACAACAGCCCAGGGACAAGGACTAGAAGGCAGGAGGGGACAGGAAAACATGTAATAGGGAGCCCAAGAAGGAGAAGGGAGAGTGCTGACATGTCGTGGGGTTGTTAACCAATATCATAAAACAGTATGTTGTACTAACTGTTTAATGAGAAACTATTTGTTTTGTAAACCATCATCTAAAGTACAATTAAAAAAAAAAAAAACACTTCTCTGTGCCATGCCCACTACGGACAAGTCACATCTGTGCTCTAATGCTCTAGGCCCCTCCGCAGTGCGGTGATAACCCTGCTCTGGTTGCACTGGCCTCTCTGCCAGGTGCTGACTTTCCCCAGAGAGCTGCGTGCTTGTCCAGCTGTCTGCACCAGCCCAATCCCCACATCTTTTCAACAATCACCTCACTCTACGCATGCCCATCCCACCTCTCCCACTGTGACCCTTTTACTCCACTCCGTTGTTTCTCATTTCCCTGGTATGCATCATTCACTAATGTATGATACCATTTATTCATTATGTTCATTATCTGCCTTCCACCATTAGAACACAGGCTCCACGAGGACAGGGGCCTTTGTTCACTGATGAGCATCCACAGTAGATGTTCAAACGTTTGCCAAATGAACAAATGCTCAGGCTGCAGCTTAAGACAATTTACTCACCTGAATATTTTCTCTCACATACACAGCATAATCATCATTACTTAAGAAATCAGCTCGTTTTTTGTAAGTCTGGCTCTCTGTTACAACAGCACCAATAGACTGCAAAAGATACATTTAAAAAACAGTAAACTTGATAAACCTACTGAAAAAGAAGTTTGTGAAATCTATAATATTAAAAAACAAAATACAAATACTATATACACTTACTATAAAATTTTTCATTGAGAAAAGATTAATAAGAGTAACAGAATGCAGAAATGCATTTCAAAAGTTAGAAGTACAGAAAATTTCCAAATCATTTCCTAAATAATCCTATGAAACAATTTACTCAAAAACACTTTACTCAGAAATTAATGTCATACCAAATACAATTTTTTAATAAATTATCTTCTAATAGCCATCCAAAATCATTAGCTGTTTGAACCAGCATCTTTTTTAAAGCTAAACGCACTTAAGACACAATCACCTCAAAAGTGAAACAAAGAACTGTTTGTTACGTGCCCAGAAAGACAGTAGCTAGGATGCTGGAAGAGTCCCCAGTAGATATAGTTAGTTCTTTCAAGGGACAGAGAAAATTAACATACACACCACTCAGAGCAAAAGTCAACAGGCTACAACAGATGTGCAGGTAATAATGCAGACACACTAACCACAGGATAAGCTGCATCCTCGACGTCCTCCACCATCTCCTCATCTGAATACTCATCAGACACTGTGTCTGCATCTGAGAGATCGGTGATCTGGACGTCAGAGTGGTCCAGCAGCCACCCAACCAAGGCCTCAACACCTAGGAGTAACCGCACACAGGCACTTACTGGATGCAGTAAGGGTGAGCACAGCTGGCAGGTGTTCCTACATTAGTGTTTAAGTGTAAACCTAACAGTAAACAACAGTGAGCCCATTAAACATAACACCAATAAGGAAAGCACAATACCAGGCAACCCTGAAGCAGTCCCAGAAGCTCCAGTGAATGACTTCAGTGCGAATTCGATGTTTCTTCTAGGAAACCCCATCTCCATGAGCTGAACAATGATGGGGAGAGCCGGGACAGGCGACTGCTTGCGCTTCCTCATTCTGCTGGGTCGCGCGTGCTGCACAGTGACGGGCGTCGTGGCCTCGCTGGAGCTGCAGTCCTCACACACGGGACTTGATGGGTGCGTGGACTCCACCGCTAAACACTGGCACACAGCCAGAGCAGCCGCCTGCAGGGTGTAAAGGGCCACCAGTGAACTTAGGAAACACATGTCATGGCCTTCTACTATGAACTGCAGTGGAGAAACATAGAAAACCCACACTTACATACATATTTTAAAATCAATTGATAAAACATGTAGGAAAAGACAAGCTTCAAAATTTATGCAGAGGAAAGAGCTGGCCATCAAATAACTTGTCTGACAGCTTCAGCAGGCAGAGAACTTGGTAAACCAGCCCACTGTTAATACCCTAAGCTCTGAGTGGGCAACAAGCGGACAGAGGCAGAGAGAGGCTCTGACAGGGGAGGGGTTAAGCAAGTCCCAGCCGGCCGGCAACTGTGCCCAGACCCCCAGCCTTCCATGAGGCCCTGCGACGCTGCCCACAGGTCACCTGCTTCCCTCCCTCTGTAGGACAGGCCAGAAACGACACAAGACTCTCTCATGTGCCACCAAATCAACCCTCAATAACCAACTGGGGCATTAAGTATTACATAAAAAAAGAAAGAAAAAAAAGAGTGACAGTTGAGAAACTAACTGCAATGAATCATAAACCCACATGCATCGCCATGTCTGCGGTTGGGGACTCCATACATAAAACAATACCTGTCTCTCCCTGATCTACTTATCACTACTCCTCATCCCCAGCTGTTCTCACAGATCGTATAACTGGCTATTTTTTTTTAAGCTGAATTGTGAAGAAGCAATGAGGAAGAAACCCAGGACACCTTAGAGCCTTCCAGTGCCTAGGATGGGCCAAAAGCCCAGGGATTTGCTGTGAACTCTGAAGTGACAGGTTTCACCCCAAAATCTTACCATTCAAAGCCAGACTGAACTAGGTATTCTGGTATCAGGGAGTTAGGCCGTACTGGACTAACCCTCTACTGTATAAACTCGGGACAAAATATTTTTTAAAAAACAGTTTGAAGGCACTGGAGAAGAGCCAAAAGCAACAAAAAGCAGAGTGGGCAGACCTCTTGGCACAGGGAAACCAAGCAGGCCCAGCTCAGCCATGACACGGCAGAAAACGACAGTGTCAGCGGACTGCAGCCAAGGGCAGGACCCCATGCCTGCCAGAGCCATCAGAGAGTGAGGAAGAGGATCTCTGAAAGAGACAGAGAACAGGACGAGACGCCACCCTCGAGTCCTCGGACGAGAAGCCACCCTCGAGTCCTCGGCTGACTCCAAAACCATGTGTGCAGAAGACTCTGCAGAACCCAGCATAAAAGAACTGCTGGAAGGCTAGGCAGCTTCCCACAGCTGCCCAGGGCTTGGGGGACAGTGTCTGAAGTTCAAATCTCACCAAGTTGGGGGAAGAAATGTCAAAGCTTCCATGAAAATCCCAGAAAAGCCAACCTTAGAATTAGGGGCCAAAAACCAGGACTAAGGGCAAAACAAAACTAAAGCTTAAACCCAAGGCTCCCTGGGATCCAAGTGCTCTGCCACGTATGTAACCACCTGCTACAATAAACTCAATATTCTGCAAAAGAAGCTGACAGAAACCAGAGCCAGAACAATGTAATATCCCAAATGTCCACAATACAGTAAGAACTACAGAAGAATCAATAATAACTTACTATAATGAAGATAAGAAAATTGAGAAAAAGTAGAGGAACTGGTAACCTAGATGTTGGAATTAGCCCCCAACAAATTAATACAACCATAGGAGCCCTTGTGGCACACTGGTTAAGAGCTACAGCTGTTAATCGAAAGGTCAGCAGTCCGAATCCACCAGCAGCTCCTTGGGAACCATACGGGGCGGTTCTACTCTGTCCTACAGGGTTGCTATGAATTGAAAACTACTCGACAGCAATTTTTTTTTTTTTTTTTTTCTGGATGGTGCAAAAGGTTGACACACTCAGCTGTAACAAAAACGCCGCAGGTTTGAATGTACCCAGAGTCGTGTTGGAAGAAAGGCCTGAAGATCTACTTCTGAACAATCAGTCACTGAAAACCCTATGGATTAATGAAAGAAGAACAATTTGGAAAAGGTGGGCGAGGATGGTTGCACAACTTGAAGAGTGTAATCAATGTCACTGAACTGTATGCAAACAAATTGCTGAACTGGTATATGTTTTGCTATGTATACTTTCAACAACAAAAAACTAATTTTTAATTAAAAGAAAGTAACTAATTTAATTAATTAAAAGAAAGTAATTAATTTAATTAATTAATTAAAAGAAAGAAAACCCTATGGTGCTCAGTTCTGCTTTGACATACACAGGGTTACCATGAGTCACAGTCAGCTCAATGGCAACTGGTTCTTGTTGTTCGGTGCCATCGAGTCGGTTCCAACTCATAGTGACCCTATGTACAACAGAACGAAACACTGCCTGGTCCATCCTGCGCCATCCTCACAACAGCTGCTATACTTGAGCCGTTGTTACAGTCACTGTGTCAATCCATCTTGCTACGGGTCTTCCTCTTTTTCACTGACCCTCTACTTTACCAAGCATGATATTCTTCTCCAGGGACTGGTTCCTCCTACAAAATGTTCAAAGTATGTAAGAAGCAGTCTCACCATCCTTGCTCCCAATGAGCATTCTGGCTGTACTTCTTTCAAGACAGACTCGTTTGTTCTTCTAGTAATCGATTCAGTATTCTTCGCCAACACCATAATTCAAAGGCATCAATTCTTCGGTCTTCCTTATTCATTGTCCAGCTTTCCCATGTATATGAGGTGATTGAAAACACCATGGCTCAGGTCAGGCACGCCTTAGTCCTTAAGTGACATCTTTGCTTTTTAACACTTTAAAGAGATCTTTTGCAGATTTGCCCAATGCAATGTGACTTTTGATTTGACTGCTGCTTCCACGGGCGTTCAAGTAAAATGAAATCTTCGACAGCTTCCATATTTTCTCCATTTACCATGATGTTGCTTATTGGTCCAGTTGTGAGGATTTTTGTTTTCCTTATGTTGAAGCGTAATCCATACTGAAGGCTGTGGTCTTTGATCTTCACCAGTAAGTACTTTAAGTCCTCTTCACGTTCAGCAAGCAAGGTCGTGTCATCTGCATATCTCAGGTTGTTAATGAGTCTTCCTCCAATCCTAATGCCCTGTTGTTCTTCATATAGTCCAGCCTCTCAGATTATTTCTTCAGCATACAGATTGAATAAGTATGGTGAAAGCATGCATCCCTGAACGCACACCTTTCTTGACTTTAAACCACCCAGTATCCCCTTGTTCTGTTCAAACGACTGCTTCTTGGTCTAAGGTTCTGCATGAGCGCAATTAAGTGTTCTGGAATTTCTATTCTTCGTAATGTTAACCATAATGTGTTATGATCCACATAGTCAATAAAACATAGGTAAACATCTTCCTGGTATTCTCTGCTTTCAGCAAGGATCCATCTGACATCAGCAATGATATCACTGGTTCCACGTCTTATGAATCTGGCTTGAATTTCTGGCAGTTCCCTGTTGATATACTGCTGCAGCTGCTTTTGAATGATCTACAGCAAAAGTTTTACTTGCATGTGATATTAATGGTACTGTTTGATAATTTCTGCAATCTGTTGGGTCACCGCTCTTCGGAATGGGTACAAATACGGATCTCTTCCAGTCAGTTGGCCAGGTAGCTGTCTTCCAAATTTCTTAGCATAGACAAGTGGGCACTTTCAGCACTGCATCCGTTTGCTGGAACATCTCAATTGGTATTCCATCAATTCCTGGAGCCTTGTTTTTCACCTGTGCCTTCAGTGCAGCTTGGACCTCCTCCTTCAGTACCATCGGTTCTAGATCATATGCTACCTCCTGCAATGGCTGAACATCAACCAATTCGTTTTGGTACAGTGACCCTGTATTCCTTCCATCTTCTTTTGATGCTCCCTGAGTCATTTGTTATTTTCCCCATAGAATCCTTCAATATTGCAACTCGAGGCCTCAATTTTTTCTGTAGTTCTTTCAGCCTGAGAAAATGTTGAGCGTGTTCTTTCCTCCCTCTTGCTTTTCTAGCTGCAGGTCTTTGCACATTTCATTATAATACTTTACGCTGTCTTCTTGAGCTGCCCTTTGAAATCTTCTGTTCAGCTCTTTTACTTCATCATTTTTCTTTCTTTCACTTCAGCTACTCGACAACGTTCAAGAGCAACTTTCAAAGTCTCTTCTGACATCCATTTTGGTCTTTTCTATCTTTCTCATCTTTTTAACGATTTCTTGCTTTCTTCATGTATGACGTCCTTGATGTCATTCCACAACTCGTCTGGTCTTCGGTCATTAGTGTTCAATGCGTCAAATCTATTCTTGAGATGGTCTCTAAATTCAGGTCGGATATACTTAAGGTCGTACTTTGGCTCTTGTGGACTTGCTCTAAGTTTCTTCATCTTCAACTTGAACTTGTAAAGGAGCAACTGATGGTCTGTTCCGCAGTCAGCCCCTGGCCTTGCTCTGACTGATGATATTGAGCTTCTCCATCATCTCCTTCCACAGATGTAGTCAAATTGATTTCTCTGTATTCCATCTGGTGAGGTCCACATGTATAGTTGCTGTTGGTATTTGCAATGAAGAAGTCATTGGTCTTGCAAAATTCTATCATGCGATCTCCAGTGTCGTTTCTATCACTGAGGCCATATTCTTCAAGTACCAATCCTCCCGCTTTGTTTCCAACTTCCGCATTCTAATTGCCAATAATTATCAATGAATCTTGATTATATGTTTGATCAATTTCAGACTGCAGAAGTTGGTAAAAATCTTCAATTTCTTTATCTTTTGCTTTAGTCATCGGTGCATAAATTTGAATAACAGTCGTATTAACTGGTCTTCCTTGTAGGCGTATGGATATTATTCTCTCGCTGACATCGTTGTATTTCAGGATAGATCTTGAAATGTTCTTTTTGATGATGAACGGGATGCATTCCTCTTCCATTTCTCACTCCTGGCATAGCAGACTATATGTTTGTCTTATTCAAAATGGCCAATACCTGTCCATTTCGGTGCACTAATGTCTAGGATATCAATCTTTATGCATTCCATTTCATTTCTGATGATTTCCAATTTTCCTAGATTCAGATTCACACTTCGTACATCCCATGTTCCTGTTATTAATGGATGTTTGCAGCTGTTTCTTCTCATTTTGAGTCGTGCCACATCAGCAAATGAAGGTCTCAAAAGCTTGACTCCATCCACATCACTAAGGTCGACTCTACTTCGAGGAGGCAGCACTTCCCCAGTTGTATTTTGAGTGCCTTCCAACCTGAGGGCTCATCTTCCAGCACTGTATCAGATAATGTTCTGCTGCGATTTGTAAAGTTTTCACTGGCCAATTTTTTCAGAAGTAAACTGCCAGGTCCTTCCTAGTCAGCCTGGAATCTCCTGTCCACCAAGGATGATCCTGCTGGTATTTAAAATATTGATGGCAAAGTTTCCAGTATCATAGCAACTCGCAAGCCACCACAGTACAACAAACTGACAGACGTGATAGAACTGGTTATTGGAAATATGTTTTAAAGCTTACAGTAAAAGATACAATGGGTGAAGAGATGGTAATGGTTGAGATATAAAAACTCTAAAAAAGAACCAAATAGAAATACGAGATCTGAAAAATATAAAACATGAAATAAAGACTTTCTTGGATCTAAACAGCAGGTTAGACTCAACAAAGCAAAGGATCCTGACCTTGGAAACAGAACAATACAAATCAACTAAATTGATTAACAAGGATTCTCAAAATAATAAACAGAGCCTCAATACTACTCAAACAGCTGTGTAATGGAGTCCCAGAAAGAAAAAGTGAGAGAGAGACAGCAGGACAGGAGACAACATAATGGTGAAAAAGTTTCTAAACCTAGTGGAGAAGAAACATCAGCCCACAAATACAAGCCACTTATATATACCCACGGCAGGACAAGAGAAAAATCCACACATACACAGGCAATTCTTGGTCAAACTGAGAAACCAAAAAAACAGGTAACAGTAAAAGCAGCCAGACTTAAAAACAAAAACCAGTGCATAGAGAAGAACAGTGATAATGATGGATGAATTTTCCTCAGAATCATCAGAGACAAAACAATGGAAGACCCTTTCTAAATGCTTAAGAGACAACTCTGCATCCTTCTTCATCAATCATCCTAACACTCAGCATCATCTCAGGCTGGATCCAGGTATGGTCTGCCTGACACACTCTTAAATTGCTCAGAGTCCTCAGAGAAACTTTCTGGAAACACTGCCACCCTTGTGGCCACTCTAAACCAAACTCTCACCTTCAAGGTTTTCAGACCTAACAAGTAAGTAGTCTGAATGCAGGGCAGTTCACTGATGTTACTAACTCTCTCAGAGGGCACTCACACTGCAGGCAAGCCCACCCCTGCAATACCTTGTGGCCCCAAGGCAGCTGTGGCCTCACTTGGATCCCTACTCCCCTCAGAGTCTTGGCTCTGAGGAGTTCTACTAGGGTATTTTCTGCCTGCCAAGTTGAGCACCAAAGGTCGTTTCGTTTTTTTCTTTAATATTTCATGCAGGTTTTTTAATGTATCATGTAACAAGAAGGACTTTTTAAAACCCTCCATGTTGCAAACTATGAAAGTTCCCATCACTATTAGACCTGGTCAAACACTGCCTGCAGCCCAAGCTGTGCCAGGCAGCACAACTCAGCATCCCATGTGCACCAGCTCAGCAAGGCCCTCAAGGGAAGATAAAAAGTGCATCACAGCATGCTCAGAAAAGGCTTCTGAATGAATAAAACAAGTGAGCAACTATGATAGTCCTAGATCTAATGGGACTCCCTCAAGAACAATTATTTCCTGAAAAGGGATCCCTTCATAAATACGTGACTGTTTAACACATGTTAAATCTTTGTTAATTTCTTCAAACAATTTACACAAAGTCAAAATAAGGTTAAACTTCAGCCCTCCCTGACTAGTATTATAATGTTTATTCACCATGTATAAGCATGGTTAAAGCCTAACCAGCCATAAGAATTAGTTTAGTATAACATTCAAAATTCAGACTATATCCTTAAGAAAACACAAATCTAGAAAAAATGTTCACATTTTAATAAATTGGATTAAAAACCATCAACTTTGCACAACTGTACCTCCAGTTCCTGTTTATCAAATATAGCCTTTACTGGAGATGGCTGGGTGGCTGATGCCAATAACTGCTGCAAGAGGGTTATAGGGGGCTGTGGGCCTTCAGGAGACATGTCTCCGGTGTCAGGAGATACAACTGCTCCATCATCTGAATTTAAAAACAAAACATGTACAACATTAAATCTTCAACCTCAAACATCTCTTTACTACCGCATTGTGCACATTAAACCCTGGCGACCAGATATGGTTCCTACCAAATCAAGTACTAGACATCCAAATTTGTAAGACTCGGAGAGCAAGTAAGAACCAGCCTCCCACTCCCTGCTTTCTGGTCTCTGTCCTTCATCAGTTCATCTGTCTCTTAGCGCCAGCAAAAGGTACTTCCCAGATTCCTGCCCTGTGTCTAGTTCTTGCATCTCTTTCTTGTTATCCACTCATGGCTTCAGAAACTCCTTCCACAGACACATCCCAAGATTACATTTCTAGCTCTTTTTTTTTAATTGTTGTAGTTTAAATGAAGTTTACATTTCAAGTTAGTCTCCCATACAAAAATTTATACATACTTTGTTATGTGACCCTAATTGCTCTCCCCTTACTGTGACAACACACTCCTCCTTTCCACCCCTGACTCCCCATGTCCATTCAACCAGCTCCTAACCCTCTCTGCCTTCCCATCTCACCTCCGGACAGAAGCTCCCGTTTAGTCTCTTGTATCTACTTGAGCATTTCTAGCTAACTCTTATTCATAGATCATAAAGTGACAACAATTCAAAGACATGTCATCCAGTCAGGATGTCTTTTTGTCTGTTTTAATGTGAATAGCTTTAGATGAGGCCTTTAGGGTTCCCGTTTGCCATGGCCCCTCTAACATCTACTATATTCTAAGCCCATTTCACACAATTTACATGATGTTACTGAGTCTTTCAAAGTACATTAATGCTTAGTGACAACTTCAACTAATCCTCTAAACCAAGGGCCAGGAAACTTTTCTTTAAAGTACCACACAGCCTATATCGCAATGACTACGCCATTATAGAGCAAGAAGAGCCAAGACAGAATGTAAGTGGATGGGTGCGGCTGTGTTCCCATAAAAATGTTATTGATAATTACAGGTGGCCACACTATTAATCAAACCCTGCTGTAGACAGCTCTGTGTGGATGTCCTGCTACACCAAAAGTGCAGGACAGTCATCCTGATTCCACTCTGCCAATAACTACTCATCAGTGTGACCACAGAAAAGCCACTTTCAGTTCTCTTGGCTTCAATTTCCTGATCTTCCATAACTACAAACTCCCTTTAAGGTCCCTACCATCTCCAACAGTGAATGAATCTGCAGTTTCCATCAGTTTATCTCAAGCTTAGTGGCATGTTTAAAATTAAATTCACAATACCCTCTCAAGATTAAGAAACAAATAAAACACTGGGCTTTCTTATTTTTGTCAAAGATGCTATTCACTACTCTTTCCAATAATATAAACTTGAAACATCAACCATCTCTAACTTTTCACTTGTTTCCTATAAAGTTATCATCTAAAAGACTAGTATCTACTGGAATCTTTCTTTCAACTTTCAATGCTTTCCCCAGGAAGATACCTCACCTCTTGACACAAGAGTAAGTCCTCCATCTCTATTATACCTGTGTTTCGGTACTCGTGCACTTCACTAGTAGATTATATCCTGAATCCCAATCCTTATATCATGCATTTCCACCACCACAGCTTTCCAAGCTGACCTTAATCCCACCCTGGTTCACAGTGTTCTACCACACGACCTCCTCAGTCTCGCCAGCTGTATCCCATTCCTCTCAGTGTCAAGCCCCGAACACCTGCCAGGCAGAGCAGAGTGCCCTGCCATTCTCCCAGAGACTCGCTGCTTCCCTCTGTGCCCAGAACTTCCTCCACCAGCACTGAGACTCCTTCTCATCCACACTGTCTACCATTGCCCCCCAAAGGCTGCCCTCCCATGCTCTCAGCTGTCTTTCTCCCCAGCACTGTTCACAGTGAACTGTGCTCAAACATCATGCCAGACACATGGCTCCACCATAACTTAGACACAGCCACCTGTGTTCATTTTTTCTCTCCACCCTGATCTGAGCCAGAAATGACCACAAATGAGGACTATCTTGTTCTCTTTGCGTTCACCACACACTATACTTAGCACAATGTCATTCAACATCAGATAACCAATATTTCACAGCTTTCTGTTTTTCTGAGCTCATTATAGAAAACTGAAGTAAATTAGAAAAATGCAAAGAAAATAAAATCAGCTGACATTCCACCACTCCGAGAGAACTGTCATTATTTTGGTAAACAGATGAATCCATGCATATTGAAAAATAAATATACGAACAATGTGCTTTTCTTGATTACTTAATTGTGTCATTTTCCCATGGCAATGAACATATATATATGTCTCATCACTTTGACTGGCTCCATGGTGTCCCACCACATGGATACACCATATAACAACGAACATTTAGGCTGCATCTGGTTCTTCTACATAAAAACAATACCCACAAAAAGCCATCAGGAGTATCCATACACACATATTTTCATGCCTTTTCTGTGATAAATTCCCAAAATGAAGACATGCTGGCCCGAGTCTGACACGTTTTCCCAAATGCTCCCCAGACAGCTGAACCAACTTAAATCCCACCTGCAATGTGTTGAAGCTGTGCTCTGTGTGCATCCCAGTCACCTGAGGGTCCTGTTAAAACACAGATTCTGATTCTCTGGGTCTGGGTGCCGCCTAAGTGTCCACACTGCTGGCATATTCCCATGTACCATCAATGCTGCTGGCCCAGGGATCCTGTTTAAGCAGCAAGGCCTGTGAGTGCTCATCTCTATCCCTGCCCATCAGTTAACATCAATCTTCTCTATCTCATAGGGGATGGATGTCACCTGTCACTCACTCATTACCAGGTGGGCCACGTCTTTCTGTGCATTTATAAGCCATCGATATTTCTCCTTTTATCAACTGCTTATTCAGTGTCCTTTGCCTTTTTTCTATTGGAGTTTTTGCCTTTCTTACACATCTATAAGCACTTATTTTAAAAAGATAACCTGTATGAGTAGTTCCCGTCTCCTGAACAGCTGGCTGGGACAAGATTTGCCGCAGTTTATCTTGATGAGAGAGCAGCGCGCGGCCCGCTTTCAGTATGTACAGCTTCAGCTGCTGGCATCGTAGCAGGTCCAGGTCCACTTGTCCTACAGGAGAAAGGAGTCCATGAGCTCCAACCATGCTGCTGTCTTGTCTGGGGAAGCCGCTCTGCTCCCAACTCATGGCACCGTGTTACCTATTATTACTACACTCAAATGCTCCTGACTGCTGAAATTTCAACCAGATGCCTAGGTCACAGACAAAATAATTTCACCTTTTCTTCCAAGACTCCTCTGAAAGAACTTCGTGAGATACTAACAACAGACAATTCTTTTAATTTATGAAAATCACGGCAATCTCCTACAGTCTACAGGATCAAATGGCACATTCATGACTGCAGGCAGAATGAGGGCAGACTCAGGAAGCCATCCCAACCAGGCAGCAGACAGCAGGCAGGGCCGGAACTGAAGGGGGACAGCAGAGGCCAGCCTGAGGCCAGGGAAGCAGCACTGAGGCACTGAGGGGAGGAGGTGGGCAGGTGACGATGGGGAACTCTTGGGGATTGGGCTTAAGCAACCGGCTGACGGGTTTATTCACCACGACAGGAAGCAGGAAGAAGAGCCAGCTAGCTGGTGGAGAGGGGCAGCTGAATTCTGGACATGCTGTAGTTTACATGCACTCAGGCTTCCCGGTCAGAGATGTCCAGAAGGCAGATGTGTGTATCTGGAGCTCAGTGAGAGTTGTGAACTGGAGAGTCAGAGTTGAAGGTGGTCCGTATCATAAAAGCTGGAGTGGTCACCATGGGTATGAGTAAGACAACTCAAGAAGAGTTGGCAGAATGAGCCAGAAGTTACTGATGAAACCACAAGGATTCCTGAAGTCTAAGAATGGCCAGGGAGAAGAAGCCCTCAAAGCATATACAAGGGGCAATAGTAAGACAGAGGAAAATCGAGGGAGCAGTATTCCACATCCAAAGCTTCAAACAGAGTGGCTGGGGTCAGGGCCACCTGCTGAAGGTTAAGGGGAAAGAAGAGAACACGGGCACCTCTTAAAAAGCCCGCTCAGAAGACACATAGCACTGAGAAGAAGAGTGATGAGGGAGGACTCTCCAGGGTCACTCTGAACATGGCATCGATGGCTGACTCGTGTGATTCTTACAAATCATGCTATCACCGAGCAGTGTTACATTCCCAACCATAACTCAAGAGACAGCAAATCAGTTTGAACCCAAAGACTTGGGCAGGGACATAAAGTTGCTTTGATAAAATGACAAGCACTGTCCAAGCAACACTCATTAAGACTGCAGCTGTTTCATCAGAAGGACCACGACTAACCTGCAAAGATCTGTTTAGGTGATTTCTTTATTTTGTGCTTTTCTAATTTGTTTCCCGCGAGGTTCACCAGCTGAGCCCAGACAGAGAGCATGGGCTCCGTGAAAGGCAAGTTGGTCACACTGAACACCACAGCTGGGAGCTGAGGGGAGGGGACATAAGCCTTCAAAATGTTGCCAATAAAATTAATAAATGAAATATTTTGAAAATTATATAATTACAGGTCTTTTCACATTTGACAATAACTTTAAAAAAAGATGACATCTAAGGCACACTTACATATATATGTCAAATATAATTACAACTACAGTAATTTTTTTTCACCTACTTATCAACAATAACTACATCTGGGTGATGGTCTTAGGTATTTTCTGTATGTTTCAAATTTTCTACATGTGTATCATTCCTAGTATTATCAAATATTATTTTATAGAGACGTACATTAAGATTGCACTTAGGTTATATGAAAATCAGCTAACCCCCTCACTTTCTTTAGGTACCCGTAATTCACAGGTTCAAGGTGACAATAGCTACTACATAAGTCATCTCACATGGCACAATTAAGAAGCATTTTCTACACGAAGAAAGGTTCTTTTAATTTTTAAAAGTTGAGCTGTTCAATAAAAAATAATCTTCATAATCCACATTTTAAAATAATTAAACTGTCCTATAACTAGACATTAAAGCTGCTAATGCCCTTTTTATGTCTCCAAGGCTAAAGTAAGACATATCAACTCTATAAAATCCTGCCAGACAGGCCCATTTACCATACGAGCGCAAAAGAGTCAAAGGAAGAAACGAAATGGTCTTCCTAAAGTCGGAGCTTCTTAGAAGGGAAACAAGATGTACAGAATCAAGTTCTCTCAGCTGCTCAGAGAACCCAGCTCTAGCATGAAGCCAGGTTACCTTACAACCTGAAGCTAACAGACACAGCCCACTTACCGCCTTGAGCTGGCTCAGCGGACAAACACGACGTGCCCGCATCTCAGAGAACTGCACGGTGATTCTGCCCTTTGGGGTGATGCGGGTGACGGTGCCTTCTCCAAACTCATCATGCATGACCTGGCCGCCGAGGCGCAGGCGGCCATCAATCCCCCCAATCACAGCAAGCACAGCCATGAGGCCACCCACTTCGGGGCTCTCAGAGTTAGGGAACCAGTCCTCCAGCAGGGCCTAGTACACACAGTAGACAGTAAGCTCAAGGGGGACACCGTGGAGCTGCCTGCTCCTTCCAGAAGTACTTTACGGTTAGGCTAAACTAAATTTTAAATTAGCTTCTTCAATAATCATTTCCAGCAAAACACACTTAACAGTGTATCTTTGAACAAAATGCATAGTGTTTAAAAAGACAACTTAAAAGTTAAATTAACATTCTATACAGAAAAATGAACTTATTTTAAAACATGGGAACTACCCCTTCCAACTGCTTCCCTGCCAAGCCACAGGTGATGGACTGGAGCTGAGAGTTGATGTACTTGTTTATAAGTCCATTCCACTGACTCAACGAGTGCAGGCTCCTGAGCAGTACCACCACCTCTTCTGCCAGAGTGCTGCTGTGGGTGGCTGTCAGGGAGGCCTGCGGGCGGGCTCTCCTCCTCCTCAGAGTGGACTCTGCAAGAGAGACACAAGAGGAGCGGCACTGCACTCTGCTCCCTCACAAGGACACAAAGCAGGAGGCGAGCTGCCCTACCTCTGAGTAACGGGATATCTGAAGAACACGTAGTAAGCAAACTGCCCAAGAAACCAAACAGCTTTTCCACAAGGCATTTCATGTCCCTTGACCTCTCAGTCTTGTCCCACGATGGAAGTACTGCTTGCAGTAAATGTACAGCTAAGATCTAATAAAAGACAATTTAAAATGACAAGCATTCAAGAAAACCAATACCTGACAGATGAAGAGATTATGGATCTTTATTTTGTCTTTATTTTTTGTTCCAACAAGGCAATTTATGATGTGAAAAATGTAATGTTATTTTACAACCAAATAATTATACCAAAGTTGATAAAAATAATAATAAACTACATTACAGACGCAGGTGTTTGTTCCTTTAATTAAAACTGAATTCTTTCCAGACAGCTCCAGTGACTCAGATGAGAGCAGTGGATGGTATTTCTCCCTCACCCAGTGCCAGCCAAATCATGTCTCTAAAAGACCTACCTTGTGTTAGTCTCCTTCTCTTCCCCCCTGCGGTTCAATACTGAGTAAAGCGCCTAACTGCAACAGGGCCTGGTAGTGATGCCACTCTCTGTGGCCTCGTGCAGTCCCCACAGCCACACGGGGCATGGGCCAATGGGAGTGCAGTTACCTGCCTCTGCAGTGATGCAGCCGTGAAAGGCGCATGCCCTTCCACGATCTGCATCAGCAGGGTGATCCAGGGTGGGGAGCTGAGAGCACCACACATCTGCGGTGTGAGAGCGATACTCCGCACAAAGCCGAGCGTGCACCAACTCCTGTGCTGCTCTCTACACACCTGGCTGTTTGGTAGGGCTGTGGGAAGGAAAAAAAAACCCACTTGGCACCGAGTATTTAAAAACAAATAATCAGTAAAATCTTTACCTTTAATTTACCTACTATTTTATTTTCAGCAACAAGCTACTCTACAAATATACTGCAATTTCAATAATTCCAAGTGAGAGGAATGAGAGAAGAGTTCCAAGTTAACTCAAAGAACATTTTTAAGCCTTTTAAATACTTTTAAAATACATATAGTGACTCCAACTAGTAGATGAATTTCATCGACTTAATGTCTCTAGAAAGGAGCCCTGGTGGCGCAATGGTTAAAGTGCTGGCTGCTAACTGACAGGCTGGCAGCTCAAGCACCCCAGCCACTCCTTGAGAGAAAGATGCGGAAGTCTGCTTCCATAAAGATTAACAGCCTTGTAAATCCTACGGGGCACCTCTACTCTATCCTACAGGGTCGCTCTGAGTCAGAATTGACTCTATGGCAGTGGGTTTGGCTTGGTTTGGAACGTCTCTAGGCAATAGGAAAATGGTTTCTAATTCAAACAACAGTTATTTATAAGAGTACATCTATTATATTAAAAAACCTCATGTGTTTTAAATATTCTCTATGATCTTGTCTATACTTAATCTGTACCATAAATTTCCAACCCAATTTAAAAAGTCTGCATTAACAGAATAAGTGGTTATCATGTTTACACAATTTGATCATATGATTCAGACATGACCAGGAAACACCAAAGGAGCGTGTTTGCTCCCCCTGGCTTCCCAGCTTCCACTCGTGGTCACCTCCCCTGTAGCTGAGGTGTGGGGCTCTGAGGCTGGAATCTCTTCACATGACCCCTTCCTTGGACCCTCTTGAGGGCCTCCTTCCAAGGCCTGAGTGACCAGCTCACTTTCCTTCGCTCTCCCTCCTGCTCACAAGGATTACAGTGATTCCCACCTCTTTCAGAACAAGATACACACTCACTCACATACACAATCACACATACCCATACCCACGATTCACCTGTACCCCTACACACTCACTCACTAACAGATTCACACAATCATTCACACAGTCATGCACACACACACACACTGACTCACATACAGGCTCACATTCAAACACTCCTCACTCCAGCATACACTCACTGACATTCATTACACTAGCATACTCACATGTACACACACACATGCTCTCACATACTCACCTGAACTCGCACTCAAATACACATATTCAGGCACTCAGTCACATACTCACTCCCACCCCCAGACATAGTCACACAACAAAATTACAGTCCCCAAATATTGACTTTTGTGGCCCACAATGACTCATTACATGCCTGTCTTGTCTGTTGTCCCACTTTCCACTAGCATGCGGAGCAGTCCACACAGAGTCTTAGTGGCCTCACTCTGCATGACTTCAGCATGTACTCCAGCAGAGAGACAAAGAGTTTGCAGTAAATTAATAGTACTTGTAAGCATCACTGAAGTGGGATGAATGTTCCTTTCAATTTGTTCAGCTTCTAAAAAAAAAATAATCAAAATAAGAAACTACACTTTGAAATAAAATTGGAAAACGGCCTCATACGTGCTTTAACGAACTTCCCATTACATTCTTTCTTCTATCTTACCCTGGAGAGGGAAGCACATCTTTTCAGAGGAGCATCTAAGAGAACTAAACCCTTGGTCTATTCATTCCTGTTCCACCTTCCTTGTAAATAATGTTTAAATTTTTTAAAACAAACCCAGCACTAAAATGATTTCAGGGATTAATTTCTTAAGAAAGACAACGTATCTGATTAGAATAATCAACTTGTCAAAAGCTGGTTTCCAGGGAACTCGTCTAAAAGCCCGGGTGACGTCATAACATACCACACTCATGGGAGTAAAGGCCCAATGTCTCACACCCAAAGCCTGCTGGCTCTTGGATGTGAAGACGTGTCAACAGAGGCCCCACTTTCTAATGGGCACCCCTGCAAGGCTCCAAATTTCACTGTGAGTCAAGTTTCCAAGCAGAAAGCCAGATCTGCACTCCTGCTCGCAAGAGAGAAGAAGGAAGGGTGGTGACAGCTGGTTGATGTTGCTGTAAATTGTGAGGCTAGGCACGATAATGATGATAAAGAAAGCACCAGATGCTATTCGCACATTATCCTCATAAGCCCACAAGGTGAGCATCAGCCCCACTTTTACACGCGCTCCGCTTAGACAGGAGGCCACGATTCCCAGAAGGATGGAGCACAGAGCATCTGAGCCAAGCCTTCGGAACTCAGACACTGTAGGCAGCCCCATGCCCGCTCTGTGGCACAGCCCGGCACTTCTCCGGCCCTCAACACCACCTCTTATGCAAGGGGGCTCATACCATCAGAAAAAGGCTTCCATCCGGAGCTCAGCATGCTTACACACAGTCAAACCTGTGCACCAACAGCCAGCGTGGCCTTCCAGATGGCCACAGGGAGCTCAGCCTGATGAGCTTCATCCTCGGGCCAAGGTCATGAGGACCTCCTCCCTCACCTCTGGATGTCCTTTCCAGGGTCACCCACAAATTCTCAGCTCTACTTTCCCTGAGCCAATTAAGTATGGACTAATGCACACTCTGTAAGGTTGTCTGAGTCTGGGGCGATGGAGGAATGACGAAAGGGTAAGAAACGGGGTCTGTGCCTGGTGAGGCTAGTATGGGTGAAGAGGAAGCTGATGAGCAAACATCCAGAGTGCGACGCCAACTTCACAGGCGCCACTCACTACTGCGGACTCCGGGTCCTGGCCAATTGCAGACAGTGCAGAGAGGAGGAGCAAGCATCTGCATCACCTGGCCTTACCACAGTAACCTCAGGGGGAGGTGAGGGAGGAGATACCAAGGTCAGTTCCAGTGAGACCACTGACTTCCAAGGCCAGTTTGTACACATGCTTCTGAGCCACTTGGGATCTTATTTCAAAGCGCTGATTAAAGGACAGACCCAAATCTACAAAATCACTGTCTGCAGAGGAGCCCTGATATATGTCTTTGCCATCCCAGATGAAAATGACAGATAACCAGCATTTGGAAACAATGTGCCTAGGCCATCCTGAGTCACCCACCGGAATCATCCTCGGTGTCCAAATCCTCTGCCGAGGGCTGCGTAGAAGCTGGCAGCTCTGCCAACTTGAGGTCATACTTTCCTTCCTTCCCCATTCTGTATGAGTTGGTGCTGCCCGTGTCCCACTGGACCCTTATCCAGCCATCCTCTCCCAGCTCACCAATCACACGGCCCAGGCCAGGAGGAGGTCCGTCCTGAGAAAGCAAAAATAAAGATCAGTGCAGGCAGTACGTCCACTGCCCAGCCTTCTCCAGAATCTCCACCCAGAGACTATCCCACCAAGGTCTCCAGTTGGCCACTCTCCCTGGAAAGGGGATTATGCCACTGCACAGACCTCCTGTTAACAAGACTAGTTCTAAACTTATCGCAAAATATACAACTAGGATTATCACTTCGAATTAAATGTCATGAAATAACTTGCTCAGGCTCTGTTCTTCCCTCTGAGATACTTACTCTTCTACTTTAAAAAGGGATAAAATCTTTGCTGTGTGGTTAGTTGCCATCGAGCTGATTCTAACTCATGGCGATCCCATGTGTGTCAGAGTAGAACTGTGCTCCACGGGGTTTTAAAGGCTGTAACCTTTTGGACGCAGATCACTGTAATCCAAGGAGCCACTGGGTGGGTTCAAACGACCAATTTTTTGGCTAGCACTTGAGCACTTAACTGTCGCACCACTCAGGGACTCAAAATCTTTGCTATCCCTCAGTGTTTTACCAAAGAAGCCAGAGAAAAAAGAACCATCTCAAACAATCCTCTCTAAGCAAATGCAGAGATGGCGCTGTCCAGTGCGGCTCCAACAGTCTTTCCCGTGGTCCTCTACACCCTGCGCAGCGCTTCAGAGGAGTTACAACCTGACACGCGCACCAGCGACTCCATGCTCCTACTCTTCCGTTTCCCTCTGGCTCTCGTGTCTATGAAAGAACCTGTTCTTAAGATGCTGCTGCCTGTACCAGGACACTTTTAGTTCTGATACTGGAGATACCTGGGCTTAAAGTGTGGCTGAGAAACCTAGACACGACAGGAATGCTACCACACTTTACAAAAATGCAGACACCAGCCACACATGACCACTGAATCATCTTCTTCCATCTGGGAGGATCTGACAGATATTTGGAAGGGTCATACTACAAAGGAGTGGAAAACTGGCTGCCCGCCAGCCAGCAGATGTGCTGCACACACCTGCAATGCTGGGCTCTCAGCCCACAATGGTCGTTTTCTGCTTCAGAGCTTTCAGGATACTATCCTTCAGAAGGAGGTTGTTTCTCTCTCTTGCTTACCCTCACTCTTAATCTGGTTACACATCATGTGTGCCAAATGTCAGTGAGTGGCCACCGCTTTCTGCATGCAACGGTCTCCCTTCAGTGTCCCAGAGCAGGCCACGTTCCTCTCTGCTTAGAAGTCACCAGCTCTATCATCCTACGTTATCTACCAATTGTACGTGTCCTGAGTTAAGGTAGGGTTTGTCCCATTTTTCACACTTCTATCAGATAAATCAGAACACGTGACTAGTGTGTTAAAGAAACCTCTGCGTACCTGATCTCCCCATTTCCAGTCCACACCTCTCATGACCCTGGTTCCGATCTTCATCAGAGCTGCCAGCTCAGGGCCTGACACGGGGAGCTGCACGGGAGTCGTCTCCTTTCGCGTTTCTTCCAGAACGGTGGCTGAGGCTCCTCGGGCAAAAGCATTCGTATCTTCTTCTACACTGTCAGAACTAGGGCCTGTCAAAGGATCAAAAACAACAGGTGAGCCAAAAAGTTACTATAATTTCCTAATCTTAAAACACACACACACACACACAATCAACAGGTACTGATGAAGACAACATTAAAGAATCCGTAGTGTATCTTTTATTTATGAAATAAAATCTATGAAAAATTACTCATTTGGTCTAGGATAAAAAAGGCAAGGGAAAGACAAAATACAAATTACATACAAATATATTCAGAAAAGCTATCTATTCTATCTCTAGGAGTTATCTAAAAAATATGCATAATTATTGTTAGAGAGACAACTATGCTTTTATTAACAGAAAAATAAAAGATAACCACCTAAAAGTCTAACAATGGGAAATTAACAAAATCTAATTATGGTATGTGCCAGGTAGAGGGTGCCTGCATGACCAGCCCCAATAAAAACCCTGGGAGATGAGCTTCTGATGAGCCTCCCTGGAAGTTAACATTTTCACACATGTTGTTACAACTCATTGCACATCCTAAGTGACTCTACTGGGAGAGGACCCTTGACAGCTGGCACCTGGTTCCCCCCAACTCCACCTCATGCACGTTTGCTGGTTTTGCTTTGTATCTTATATGTGAGTCCTCCTAGACTGTCACAGAAACCTGAGTGGCTTTGGGGGACTCCCGATACAGTTGTGTCAGCAATGGAATTCTCTTGAATAACCCTGACTCTCTGAAGTAGCCAATAGCACTGTTTGGGCAAAGGAAGGCTGAAGGGGCAGGGTATGACAAACGGCTGGTGCCCGGGGGGCTATGGAAGCACCTACAATATAAAAGAGCAGTTGAGCTGTCTGCTCTAAGAGGTAAAATTTGCCTGTGGATTTGAAAATTATAAATTGGACCCCAGGATTCGGCTTCCTGAAAGGTCTGGCTGTTTTAGGCCACGCTGGCTATAGAGGGGTGGGGGACCAAAAGGAGGGGAAGAAAGGTATAGCCGAGTACGTCTTTCGCTTCTGTTCTCTCCTCCAAGTGAGAAGAAAATGGCCCAAACCCGCCCAGAGGTGGGCCAAAAAGGTTATGAATTTGTGCTACTGACTTCTCCATGTGGGAAGAAAAAAGGTTAATCAATTTCCAGGGCTGGAGCCAAGTTTTAGATAAATCAGAGGGAGTGGGGGAAGGGAGAAACATTCTAGTCGTTCTTGAGCCTAGCCACTGCTCACCACCCATGCATTCCAGCCAGGGTCATCCCCAGCAGCTGTCATGTGAACCCTGTAAATGTTGACATACTGACAGGGGACTGAATAAATGTATAACTAGAAAACAAGGGGTAATTTTTTAAAAAGTGGCTCTGTGGATCTGATGTACAGATAAAATTGATATAAAACATTATATGCTTATAATTTCATAAATGCTAGAGATCATCCTGATCACAGAAAGCTGCACTATATAAAACAAAACCAAATTTGTTGCCATTGAGTCAATTCCAACTCATAGCAACCCTATAGGGCAGAGTAGAATTGCCCTACATGGTTTCCAAGGAGCGGCTGGTGGATTTGAACTGTTGACCTTTTGGTTAGCAAACACTTACCCACTGTGCCACCAGGGCTTTGCACTATATATACACGAAGCCCAGGCAGCAAAGTGGGTTAAGTGCTTGGCTGCTAACTGAAAGTCTGGCGGTTCAAACCCACAGCCGCTCAGCAGGAGAAAGATGTGGCAGTCTGCTTCTGTAAAGATTACAGCCTCAGAAGCAGTTCTACTCTGTCCTGTACGGTCGCTATGAGTCAAAATCAGCTCGATAGCAACACGTTTGATTTATATATATACACGTACACTAAAAAAAAAAAAAAACTGCTGCTGTCAAGTCACTTCCAACTCATAGTGACCCTACAGGACAGAGTAGAACTACCCAACAGGGTTTCCAAGGCTGTAATCTTTACAAACGCAGATACAGTAAAACCTGCAAAAGTTGGAACCTGTGTAAGGCAGAAACCTGTCAGAGAAGGAAAACTCAAATATTTTCCACTAAACTGAGTGATCGAAAAATGGTAAGACAGCACCCTGTAACCTGTGAGACCCGGAAAAACAAGGCAGTTCCATCAAGTTCCAGCTCTCACAGGTTTCACTCGGTGTGGGTGTGTGTGTGTGTGTCTATCAGTGTGATAGATAGATACATAGACAGACAGACAGACAGACAGATAGATATAGATAGGTATCAGGGAGACACAAATCCTTTGCTTTTTCCCACTGGCAGACCAGTTAGTACTTTAAGTCAGAGTACTGGAAACAGAATTTAAGCCTCCATTAACCAAAGATTTGCACTGTGAGTTTTACCTACTAGAGTCTCTGAAAAAGGGGAGATAACATAAAAAGAGAGGCAATCTCTAAATTAAGACACACTTGCAGAATTTTAAAAACCAATTTTTAGTTGCTAATGAGATCTTAAAAAATCAGATGTCTAACCCTTAGAGGATGATTGTTTTCTATCCTTACGCATATTTTTGAAGCGGTCAATTTGGACTCTTTAAAAAAAGAAACAAGATAAAACAGGGGTTCAAAAGCCTTGCTTTTCACTCGGACTTGGAACACGGCTATCTGGCCCTGAGACTTCTTGGCTTTCTGCTGAAGAAGAAACAGCATGATAAACTGTCCTGACCTACACAGAGCACTCTCCTCCTCTGGCACTCATGGGTCATTTTTCAGGATATACCACATGTTATGTCACAAAGCAATTCTCATAAATTTAAAAAGACTGAAATCATACAAAGCATCTTCTCACACCATGATACATGAAACTAGAAATTAATAACAGAAGGAAAACTACAAATTTGACAAATATGCTGAGATTAAACAACATACCCTTAATGGTTAAAGAGCTGAAGAAGTTACAAGGGAACTTAGAAAATACTTAGAGGCAAATGAAAACAAAAACACAACATACCAAAACTTAATAGATGCAGTGAAAGCAGTGCTCAGAGGAACATTTACAGCAGTAAACACCTACATCACAAAAAGAAGAAAGATCTCAAATCAATAATCTAACTTATGCCTTAAGGAACTAGGAAAACAAGAGCAACTAAACCCAATGTTAGCAGCAGGAAGGAAATAATAAAGATTAGGGCAAAGATAAATGAAAAAAAAGAACAGAAAAACAACAGAGAAAAACCAACAAAACCAAAAGTTAGCTCTTTGAAAACATCAACAAAATTGACAAACTTTTAGCTAGACTGACAAAGAAAAAGAGGGAGAAGACACAAATAATTAAAATCAGAAATGAAAGTGGGTACATTACCACTGACCTATAGAAATCAAAAGGACTATAACAGAATGCTATGAACAACTGTATACCAACAAATTAGACCACCCAGGTGAGATGAACAAATTCCTAGAAACACAAAAACCATAAAAACTTCCTAAAGAAGAAAACAGAAAATCTGAACAGGCTATACCAAGCACAGAGACTGAATCAGTCATCAAAAATCGTCCAAAAACCATGCTCATGGATAGGTAGACTCAACACAGTGAAAATGACAATTCTACCCAAAGCAATTTACAAATACAATGCAATCCCAATCCATATACCAACAACACAGAAAAACTAATCATTAACTTTATATGGAAAGGGAAGAAGCCCCGGATAAGAAAAGCTCTACTGAAGAAGAAGAATAAAGTAGGAGGACTCACACTATCTGACTTCAGAACCTACTATACAGCTACAGTAGTCAAAACAGCCTGGTACTGGTACAATGACAGATACATTGACAAATGGAACAGAATTGAGAACCCAGATGTAAATCCATCCACCTACGGTAACCTGATCTTTGACAAGGGCCCAAAGTCCACCAAATAGGGAACAGAGAGTCTTTTTAACAAATGGTGCTGGCAAAACTGGATATCCATCCACAAAAAAAATGAAACAGGACCCATACCTCATACCATACACAAAAACTAATTCAAGATGCAACAAAGACCTAAATATAAAGCCAAAAACTATAAAGTTCATAGAAGAAAAAATAGGATCAATGCTAGGAGCCCTAATGCACGGCATTAAACAGGATACAAACTATAACCAACAACACACAAACCCGAGAAGATAAGCCAGATAACTGGGATCTTCTAAAAATTAAACACTTATGCTCATCAAAAGACTTCACCAAAGGAGTAAAAAGAGAACCTACAGACTGGGAAAAAAATTTTGGACATTACAAGTCAGGTAACAGTCTAATCTCTAAAATCTACAAGAAAATACAACACCTCTACAACAAAAACACAAACAATCCTATTAAAAAATGGGCAAAGGAAATGAACAGACAGTTCACCAAAGAAGAGATTCAAGTGGCCAACAGACACATGAGGAAATGCTCACGATCACTAGTCATTACAGAAACGCAAATTAAAACCACAATGAGATACCATCTCACCCCCGGCATTACCAGCACGAATCAAAAACACTGGAAATGACAAATGTTGGAGAGGCTGCAGGGAGATCAGAACTCTTATGCACTTCTGCTGGGAACGCAAAATGATACAACCATCTTGGAAAATGATATGCTCCTTCCTTAGAAAGCTACAAATAGAAATACCATACGATCTAGTAATCCCACTCCTAGGAATATATCCTAGAGAAATAAGAGCCATCACACAAATAGACATATGCACACCCATATTCATTGCAGCACTGTTCACAATAGCAAAAAGATGGAAACAACACAGATGCCCATCAACAGATGAATGGATAAACAAACTGTGGTACATACACACAGTGGAGTACTACCCAACGATAAAGAACAATGATGAATCTGTGAAGCATCTCATAACGTGGATGAAACTGGAGGACATTATGCTGAGTGAAATAAGTCAACTACAAAAGGACAAATATTGTATGAGACCTCTATTGTAAAAACTCATGAAAAAGTTTACACACAAAAAGGAACAATCTTTGTTGGTTATGAGGGATGGGGGGGTGGAGGGTAAATACTAAACAGATAATAGATAGTGGTAACTTTGGTGAAGGGTAAGACAGTACATAATATTGGGGAAGCCAGCACAGCTTGTACAAGGAAAGGTCATGGAAGCTCCATAGACATATCCAAACTCCCTGAGGGACTGAATTGTTGGGCAGAGGACTGTGGGGACCATGGTCTCAGGAAACATCTAGCTCAAATAGCATAACACAGTTTTTAAGACAATGTTCTACATTCTACCTTGATGAGCAGCATCTGGGGTCTTAAAA